TCTAGATCGATTAGATTTCTTTTGTTGATCGTACTGATTATTTTCTCTAAATCACGTCCTGCAGATTAAAAATGATAATCACCTAGTATACTAGTAATCGGTCGTGTAATATGTAACACAGCAAAGTATAGCAACACCCATCGATTAAATATTTGTAGAACAGAGTTACAATATCACTAAACCAAAACAAAACTAAATTATTATTGATAAATATTAATCAAGCATCGTATAAACGATGTGCTTAATTGATATGTAACTAGTTTAACTTTCATCATAAAATAATGCATAAAAATAAAACCAAACATAAAATAGGGCGATACGAGATTTTAAAAATAGTGACGGATTAGCCACAATTGGGCTCAATCCGGTTTTGGTAGGAGATCTTGCGACGCCATACATAAATAAGTTAACCCACGATCATTATGACCAGCACACATATGGCTACGACAAGTACGATGAGATCAGTCTGCATTCTGTTTCTTTCCCACACACACCAAAAAAAATTATTTCTACCTAAAATTTTCGATGTTTTCTTCTTTGTTATCGAATGCAAACTATACTTATGAACAGAAAAATGGAAATCAGTGAAATTTGTAAATATTACATTTTACAGTTAAGGAACATTAACTAGGAAACGTTATATATTTTACATCAGTCATTAAATAAAATAAGAAGAAAATGGAATTTTTACAATTTATTTATGGTATTTTATTGGTCGTCGTACCATCAAATATCTACTACACATGTATGTAGTGATTTAAATTTTAAACATAGTACTAGCATTTAAATAAATATAAAAAATTGCGAAGTGATACTATAAGATTGTCTGTAATGGGCCAGGCTTTTACGATTTGAGAATTTAATTTGTAAATGTCCAATTAGATCTTCACGAATAAACATAGTATTTTTGAAAGAAAATGCTCTCGATTTTGGAGTTTCATTTGCAAGGCTAAAATCTGTTCTCTTCAATGTCCATGGAAAGAGAGAAGAGAGATATAGATCTTGAAGAGTATTTATACCCTAGTGATTTTGATTTGTTCGGACAAAAACTCTTTGGAAAAGTTAGTGAAAAGCATTACTCCATCTCCCCTTTGCTCATGAAGGTGAAGAAACTGCAACTTCCACCACTTGTATAATCGCAATGTTTTAATCTTTGTTTGCTTCTTGTAATTACTACTTCATTGGCATTGATGGATGTATCGGCTACTTTATAACTTTTGAGTGAAAGTTTGGAAACAAACCTAAGCACCAACTACAAGATACAAAGTTAATATACTAATTTTCAAAAATTTAGAAGTTGAAATACTTATTAACACACCAAAATTGTTTATGCAATAATCCATTATACTTTCATAAGTTCGAGTACAAATTTTGACCATTTTTCTAATCAATAAGTCATCACTGTTAACGGATTGAAAATGTTAATTAACGGAAATTTAGTCAATGTTAACATCAACTTAATAATACAAAATTAATGTACTAATTTCAAAAATTACAGAATCAGAATATGAATTAATACATTAAAATAATTCGTGTACTAATCCCTTATACTTCCAATAGTTAGGATACTAATTGGCCACTTTCTCATCAAACTTCCCGAGAACAGTGTTGACACAAGCCTCAAAATGCTTTAAGGATTGTTGATTTTGAAATCGTTATTTAGAAGCCAAAGTGATGGAAAAATGGTTTGATGATGGGAAAACCAGTTGTACTTGAACTCCAAGCACAAGAGTTTAGACTTTACTAACTCAAGGGCTAATCCTCACAAGAGTTAACAAATTCTACACTTTTCAGAAGCTCTCTGAATCCCTCAAAAGAACTTAATAAAAAACAGGAACAAGATTGTAAACAAAGAGATACTTTTCTTTGAAGCAAAACACTTTCTTTTTGATTAATAATTTCGTTACTTGAATAATACAATGCTTGAGCTTTATATAAGGCTCAGAAATAATAAAACAAACGGTAACTAATGATTAAAAATCAAGCAAAGATCAAGAAATAACTTCTACTAGCCGTTAGGCTTAAATGGGAGGGATTTGGTCCTTGGCAATGAATGGGGGATCTTCCTTAAGTCTTCTGCACGAAATGAATGAGATGAATCTTCTGAGGATGATGAATCGTCGAGATTGAATGGCTGATATAATCGTTGGCCTTTGTTTCCTTGCTTTCTCCTTGAACCAATAAAGTTGATTCCATCTTTGGTAAGTAGCTCTTCTTTGATATCTTCTCGGTTTTGGCTGGTTTGAGCTCGGCTATTGACTTGGTCTGGCGGTTCAGAAATCTTAGTATACTCTGAAATGGCTCTTGGTGGTCGAATGAAGTGGCTGGTCGAATAAAATGTCATGTAATCTCTTCTTTCCTTAGATAGCTCCGGATATATCAATGTAGGTCCATATGTTGATTTGAGCAGTTCTCCTTTGGTTTGATTTGAATAGCTCCGGTTCTTGACTTGAATATCTTCATTAAACAACAAAGGTGGGTCGGATAAGATGTTGGCTTCATATATCTTTGAGCTTTCCATAAACGGCTCCATGAAATCACTTGTTGGCTTAACCAAGTGATTTATTGGTTCTGCTGGTTTAAATTGATTCTCTTTGCTTCTAAACTTGGTCAGCAACGTCTTAGTTGGATCAGGAGGCTCTCCAGAATGATGGTGTTTCATGATTAAGTCCCTAGCATCTCCAAGCTCAGCTACAAGTCCTCATTTCCTCCCAGCTATAAGCTTAGCATCATCCGGATAAGCTTCTTTGTCCCTTCTCTGGTCAGGTTCGGTTGTATAAACATCCATGCTTACGTCAAGTGTACGTTAGGAGGGATAAACTCAGACACATGTCTTAGTTCACTTTTAGTTTCTTCATTTATTTTTTCTTCCGTTTATACACTGAAAATCTTACGTTTTACTTGGAACTAGGAGTTTGGCCCGCACGCATGTGCATGCATAAATAGTTTCAAAAATTTTACATAAATATCTAAATTGTTATAAATATTTTAATTTTTTGTAATATATAAAAAATTAGGTAGAGCGATTAAATTATAGACCCTAATAGCAAAATATGGTATAATTTTAACTAAACATTTCATTATAACAAAATGCCGATTTTATTATGTTAAAGGGCCAAATGGGTCAGACCCATGGATAGCTGGTTGAGCGGGTTACCTGCTGCGGATTTGCGGGTCAGACATACATACCTGCAAATTTCATCATCTTCTTTGTCTTCAAATAATCTTCCACAATTTATCCAGTTATTTAGCCTCTAAATTCTTGAATACTTCTTTGTATAAAACAAATATTTAAACTAAAATAAATTAAACACAGAAAATTATTTGAACTTAAATATATTCCAACTTCTCTTTGTATATTTTTTTAGCTTATGTTTCGTGTGGACAACAAAAATGGGCTCTTTAGTTAAAGATTATTAGATTAATGTTACTTTTGATTATATAGTTGATGCATGTGATGAAGACAATTTTCATAATTTTTATACAATTTGATGATACAATTAATGTTGCTTTAGATTATATTGCGGAACGACAATCTCAAGAAGACTGTTAAAAATAGATAATCATATTTGGGTTAACAAAATGTGGTATACTCTAACTTCTCTTTGTATATTTTTTAGCTTCTGTTTTATGTTGACAACAAAAATAGGTTCTTTAGTAACAATTAATGTTACTTTATTATATAGTCGGTGCATGTGATGAAGATATAATTTTTATACAATTTAACGTATACAAATCTGTGCATGTAATAAAAAATATAATATATGTTTTGTGCATGTGATAAAAACAATGGTTTACAATTTATATTAGTAATTAAATATTTTATATTTTTTTAGTTTTCATAAAATTATTATTTGAACTAAAATAAATTAAACACATACATTTTTTTTGCCATGTCATAATCCACATATGTTAGCAAATGCCATGTCATAATTACATCATCATTACACATCATCATTTTCATGTCACATTTAATTAGGTTAGATTAATGTTTTTAACCAATGAAATTAAAACAATCAGCATATTTCATTAAACTACATTGTCAATTAATAGGTAGAAAATTAATTTGATCGTACATATTAATTTTTCTGAAATAACGTCCTTAACATTAAGGATATAAAAATCAACTAGCTAGTGTATGTGTATAGTAGTAATTATATAATGTTGTAGCATTGCAAAATATGACAAACTATGCATGCAGTGCCAGTATTATTGCATAGTCGATCGATTTATTGATTCCATAGGTTACAACTTATCACCATAAAATTTTCATCAAAAGAAATCAAAATAAAACAAAAGATAAACCATGCGATAGATGATATAATAGAAATAGTTACAGATTAATCCGCAATGGGCAGAATCCGTGTTCGGTTACACCAGCAGCATACTATAATAATAAAACCAAATATGAATACGACTAATCCAGCGCCGAGTGCGATAGCCAAAATATTCATATTATTTCTTCACCTCACACACACCTTCTTTCGTGTCTTCTTATGCTTCTTGGATGCAAATTATACTTATATATACATATTTTCGTATAGTATATATGTATAGTAGTAATTATACCTTCTTTCGTCAACTCGAAAATATACATGTTTGTAAATACATACTTCATTAAGGAATACTAACTAGGAAAAATTGGAAATTTTAGATTTATTTGTCATTAAAAAAATATCTAAATTGTACTTTTTGGAAATTGTATAAAATACAAGGGGAAATTTTATATTTAGTCATTACTTAACAAGATATGTTTTTATTTTAATCAAAAACTCTAGCAGATACTTATTATCGGAAATAAAACCCATGATTAATGAGCCCTAAGATATGAAAACCCAAATTGAGCCCATTTCTCTTTTCTGGTCCCACGCGGTAAATTCTCAATTCTCAGTAGTGGGAAAGGAGTTCACGGCGGTTTCTTTCACTTTCTACAAATCATTTTTTTTTTAATTACAGCTCCAAAAGCAGTTAGTTCATTCACCTTCATGAGCATAGCGGAGATGGAGTTCTCGATTTTTCATTACCTCAGAGTTCTCTTCTTCTTCACTTTATCTTTTTACACTTTTGTTCTTCGTGGAGACAGCATCACTTCCGCAGGAAACTTGTCCCTGAGAAACAGAGTCCGAAACAGAGACAAAAGCTCTGTTCTTCTTGTTGATGTCCGTAGCTTTGGTGCTCGAGCTAATGACCACAGAGATCACACCAAGGTTATTTTCGTTAATTTCTTTTAATCATTTTGTTTATAGATTCGTCATTGTTAATCTCGATAATCAGCTTAATCCAATTGAAATGTTTTGAAGGCCTTTGTAGCAGCATGGGACGAGGCATGTAAATCATCTTCACGCTCTGTAGATCTTATAATCCCAAGAGGTGAGTTCTATGTTGGTCCTCTCAAATTCTCTGGTCCTTGCACTAACGTATCCAAACTCACTGTCCGAGTTAAGGTAATTTACTAAACTCGCCCTTCAATCTCTCTCTTTGAATCTGTCTTTTGTCGTGTGTGTTAGTTAATGTTTTCTTGTTGTACACGTAACTGAATTAGGGTCATCTCAAGGCATCAACTGATCTGTCAAAGTACAGATCAGGCGGTGGTTGGATTGAGTTTGGATGGATTAACGGTTTAATTCTTACCGGAGGTGGAACATTTGACGGTCAAGGCGCCTTAGCTTGGCCGTTTAATAACTGTACTACTGATTCTAACTGCAAACTCCTCCCAACAGTGAGAAAACTCAAAACGAAAAAACGTTTGAATTTGATCATAAATTTGTTTCTTTTTTAAGGAAATAATCGATTTCTTGCTGTTGATTTCTTCAGAGCTTGAAGTTTGTGGGGATGAACAGAACAGTTGTAAGAAGGATAAGCTCAGTGAACAGCAAGTTCTTTCACATGGCATTAGTTGAGTGCAGAAACTTCAAAGGCACAAGACTCAACATCACTGCTCCTTTTGATAGTCCTAACACTGATGGTATCCACATTGAGCGCAGCTCAAATGTCTATTTCTCGCGTTCGCATATCGCAACTGGAGATGATTGCGTCTCTATAGGACAAGGAAACTCTCAGATCACAATCACCAGTATCAAATGTGGACCAGGGCATGGTATCAGGTAAATGTAATATTAAAACTGCGTTTTTGTAACTGTTGTTGCCGCAGAGTGTTTATTAAATGGTTTGTTTTCTTGCGTTTAAAGCGTTGGGAGTTTAGGGAGATATCCAAATGAGAAAGATGTGAAGGGACTGGTGGTTAGGGATTGCAAGATGAGCGGTACGACGAATGGGATAAGGATCAAAACATGGGCTGATTCTCCTGGTCTAAGTGCAGCTACCAACATGACTTTTCAGAACATTATGATGGACAATGTGACTAATCCTATCATCATTGATCAGTCTTATTGTCCTTTCTCTTCTTGCACTTCAAATGTGAGTCTTCTTTAACACTCAAATCTCTAGCATTACATTATCAGGTACTCTCTTGAGAGTGACTCAACTTCAAGAACCAAAGTAGAACTCAATCTACCACTCTAGATTCTCAAACTTACCGGTCATATCAGCTTAGATTCTATGATAAGCATTACATTTTTCAGTTACCCTTTAGAGTAAATGTGAGTGACATATAACTTTAAGAACATAGGAACCAAACCACGTTGATCTGATTGACATTGAATGTTTTACTGAAGATATGTTACTGAAATGAGTCTGAGGGAACTTTTTTGATTCATTTACTCGTTGCAGGTACCGTCGAAGGTGAAGCTGAGTGAGATATACTTCAAGAACATAAGAGGAACATCATCGTCGAGGGTCGCGGTGCAGCTGCATTGTAGCAGAGGAATGCCATGTAAGAAAGTGTACTTGGAGAATGTTCATCTTTCTCTTTCTTCTTCTGGTGGAGGAAGAGGAGAAAAACAGAGCAGAAACAGAGGAAGTGAAGCTGTATCTTCTTCTTGTAGAAACGTTAGAGCTAAATACATTGGGACTCAAATCCCACCTCCATGTCAGTAATTTTCATAATGAAGTTTTTTTCCTGTAATTTAATTTCTTTGCTTTGTTTTGGCATTTTGGGACAAGTTTTCTTCATATGGGTCATGTAAAGTTGGAGACTTTTGTTAGATAATTCAATAGCATCCTAAAGAAAAATCTTGGCTAATTAAAAGATTAATGATAAGAAAATATTGGTTAGGTAACAAAATATTGGTTAATTTAAAGATGGAATGCGAAATCATTGGGAGGAGATGGTTCATGTCAAGAGCACCAACTAACAATTTCCGGGTAATAGCTTGCACAAATTATATCAATATAATAAGATAATTAGTAACAAGATTGTTCATAAAATAATAATCTATGCATACGCATTTGCCTTTATATACGTAGTTAAGGACACATCATCTTTACTTGTTCCCTGAGATATTGCTCCCTCCGATCCCTAAGATGGAAGTAGAATCAGAAACTCAAGAACTCCATATCCACGTCAATGGAGGTAAGTACTTTTAACCCCTACATATGTAATCAACCTAACCATGGTAGAGCTTTTCTTGTGTGTTTTTATCTTGCTTATGTCCCTGTTCTGTTTCTATGTGTTGATCAGAACCTGCAAGAAAATTTTCAACAGAACAGAGAAGTCACAACTACTCATGGAGGTTAAGAGTGTCTCTCTATGTCACTCTCCTCTTAGCTGGTGAGACAATAGCCACTCTCTTAGGTAGACTTTACTACGACAAAGGCGGCAACAGTACATGGCTTGAGACTTTGGTTCAGCTTGTTGGGTTTCCTTTAACCTTACCTTGTTACTATTACATAAAAGCTGAACCTTCCAAGACTAAAACCATAAACAAAAAAACTACTTCTTCTTTCTTGACACTGTCTTTAGTGTACGTTGGACTTGGCTTGCTTGCTGCTGGACACAGTGTTCTATACTCCTTTGGATTACTCTACCTTCCTGTGTCAACTTTCTCTTTGATCTCTGCTTCACAACTGGCCTTTAATGCCGTCTTCTCTTACTTCCTAAACTCCCAAAAATTCACACCCTTTATACTCAACTCACTTGTTCTCTTGACCACATCTTCTGCACTTCTTGTCATCCAAGAAGAGCCTGAATCTTCTACTTCGAAGTCATTACCAAAGTCCAATTACGTGATTGGATACATCTGCGCCATCGGTAGCTCAGCTGGTTACTCACTGGTTCTTTCTTTAACAGATTACGCGTTCAGAAAGATTCTAAAGAAGTACACTTTCAAGGCGATTTTAGATATGGTCACATATCAGTCTCTTGTAGCTACTTGTGCAGTTGTGGTTGGACTTTTTGGAAGTGGTGGGTGGAGAATGTTGAGGACAGAGATGGAAGAGTTTGGTCTCGGGAAAAGCTATTACCTTTTGATAACTATTGGTGCGACGATATCGTGGCAAGCTTGTTCGTTTGGTAGTGTGGGTTTGATACTTGAAGTTTCGTCGCTTTTCTCAAACGTTATAAGCACTCTTTGTTTACCCGTTGTTCCAGTTCTTGCTGTTGTGTTCTTCCGAGATGAGATGAGTGGAATCAAGTTGGTTGCAATGCTTATGGCCATTTGGGGATTTGTTTCTTATGCTTACCAGCATTATGTTGATGATCGAAAACTAGAAGAAGAGAAAAAGCTTACTCAACCTGAAGAAGAAGAAGAACTACAAGAAGATAATAGTAACATCCAGGCTTAGACAAAGATCCAAGAACAAAAGGTGGATTTATGATTGAGGAATATAGGAAGATATTTGTGGACCTTTTTTTACTTTTGTGTTAATAAGATATATATATATGCCAGAACAACTCTACTGGAATAAATGATATCGATCTCTGTAGCAAAAAAAAAATTGATTTATATATAAATCCAAGTCGTAGAGGAAAGAAAGAGAGATGGATTCTAAAGTTTTTATAGACTAATTCGTGATTTGTAATATACTTTCGTTGATTAAGAATATCACTTTACGTTTTTGTTAACGGTCGTTAAAATACTTTTAAAAGCATCGGTCTCGGACTGGAATGACTGAGATCGGCTTTTACCGTCTCGTGTACGTAACTTTGATATAACTTAACTCTGAATAGTTTTCGCGCGCTCAATGTTGTTTTGTGATCACGGATCAAATATTTTGATTACGATAACCTTTAAATATATTGTTTAAATTACCTTCAAGCATCATTTTATCTTAATACAGTACCTATTTCTTTTGATATCACGTTATTTTTAACGATAATACGATATATCTGATATGACAACATATTTGTGATACTATTTAAATAGCAAACCCTTGTTCAAAAAAAGAGAGCATATTTGTGAAATTACTACACTGTTAAAAGATTGAGAATTTGGAGACTGGAAATGAGAATGCTGTGACTAGAGTGTCGTAATTTTTTTATTTAGTAAACTTTTATAATAATAGATTTTAGTTGATAGCATCTACTTTTACTTAATTAAAAACATTTTGGAGGGTATTCACTATTCAGTTTTCTCTTTTTCATTATATAGAATTTATTTTATATTATAGTAATCAGATTTGTTTTGGTAAAAGATACTTATATATTTATTAAAAGATTTTTTTAGAGGGATATATAACATTTTAAGTTCTTATAGCTTCACTTTTTTCATATAAAATTAATATTAATTTAATCACATCTGTCATTTGATTTTGATACTTTAGCTATTTTATGGGTTTATATATAAATATTTAAATATACTATAATAATATTTTGGTAATTTTAGATTTGATTCACTTTTCTAATAATGGATTTAATTTGCTGGTAATTTAACAAAATAAATTATATATATATAAAAAAGTAAAAAGCACACATCACCTTTATTTGTTCCTTGAGATATTGCTCCCTCGCTGTTTCTATGATGGCAGTAGAATCAGAAACTCAAGAGCTCTGTCTTCACGTCAATGACGGTAAGTATTTCAACCCCTACCAGATTGAATCAATCCAACAATTACAAAAATTTGGGCATATATGTTCTTGCGGTCCGTCTTATCTTTACTTATATATGTTCTTGTTCTGTTTCATGTGTTTGATGATAGACGATGCAGGGAAGTTGTCAACAGAAGAAAGAAGTCATAACTACTCATGGATGTTAAAAGTGTCTCTCTACGTAACTCTCCTCTTAGCTGGAGAGACAATAGCTACTCTCTTAGGTAGACTTTACTACGAAAAAGGTGGTAAAAGCATATGGCTAGAGACCTTGGTTCAGCTTGTTGGGTTTCCTTTAAACCTTCCTTGTTATTATTACATAAAGCCTGATTCTTCCAAGACAAGTAACATAACCGAAAAACCTACTTCTTCCTTCTTGACACAGTCTTTAGTCTATATTGGACTTGGCTTGCTTGTTGCTGGACAAAGCGGTCTATATTCTCTTGGATTACTCTACCTTCCTGTATCAACTTTCTCTTTGATCTCTGCATCGCAATTAGCGTTCAATGCTGTCTTCTCTTACTTCCTAAACTCCCAAAAGATCACACCCTTTATACTCAATTCAATTTTTCTCTTGACCATATCTTCAACACTTCTTGTCATCCAACCTGATCCTGAAACTTCTTCTTCTTCTAAGTCCTTAGCCAAATACAGTTATGTGATTGGATACATCTGCGCGATTGGTAGCTCAGCTGGGTATTCTCTGGTGAACTCTTTAACAGATTACGCATTCGAAAAGATTCTAAAGGAACACACTTTCAAGGCGATATTAGATATGGACACATACCCTTCTCTGGTAGCTACTTGCGCAGTTGTGGTTGGACTTTTTGGAAGTGGTGGGTGGAAAATATTGAAGACAGATATGGAAGAGTTTGAACTTGGGAAAAGCTCTTACTTCTTGATAGCTTTCGGTTCGATGATGTCATGGCAAGCCTTTTCGATTGGTAGTTTGGGTTTGATTCTTGAAGTTTCATCGCTTTTCTCAAATGTTATAGGCACTCTTGGTTTACCTGTTGTTCCAGTTCTTGCTGTTGTGTTCTTCCGAGATGAGATGAGTGGGATTAAGTTGATTGCAATGTTGTTGGCCATATGGGGATTTGTTTCTTATGTTTACCAGCATTATGTCGATTATCAAAAACCAGAAGAAGTATTATATCAGGAGAAAGAGGAAGAAGAGAAAGAGCTCCTTGAAGTACAACAAGATCATAACATTCGTATCCAGGCTTAGACAAAGATCCAGGAACCAAGCTGAATGTAGTTTTGAACCGGTTTTAATAAACTTTAAGAAGAAAATGATGTATGAAGAGTTAAATCAGAAGCAAACCTAATAATATATCTACTTGAAAGAAACATTTTGATTCTTGAAGTTATGCATTGATAGTGTAGGTTAGATTCTTGAATGGCTTTTTCTCTTTTGTTATAAGCAAAAATTTCCACTCACCAAGTTGATTATTTATGGCTATTCGAGATTAGCTTCTTATGGTTATCAAGAAGACAACAGTCATAACTAGGTTTAAACAAAGATCCAAGAACATTGCAAAGCTTTTTAAGTGATAGCCAATTTCATCTGAACTAAACAGTTATAGTAGACGCCCCCAAGAAATTTTGGAACTTTATACATGCCAAGTGTACGCAAGGCCTCTCTGTATTATTGTATATTTTGTTGACGTCTGAATCCACGTCTACGGATTTGAAGTTAAATAAAATTCAAGTAGAGATTCTAATTAAATAAGACTAGAATGGGAGAACAAAAAAAATCAGACACAAATAATAAATTATGTGGACACCAAAATAAGATTAGAATGAGATAAGTAAATAAAGCTTTTCACCAAACTCAGCCTATTATAATTAGAGCCGCCAATTATAAGGTTTCAAGAATGCAAAGTCAACGGTAAACAAGAGCTCACCTCTTATAAAAATATGATGCACTTGCCTCCAAGCTCCATCTATATTAGCAGCCTTACTAAAAATATGTTTGAGGGAAGTCTCTCTTAAAGCATGGAAAGAACACAAGAACTCTATGTCAATGGTAAGCAAGAAGCATCTCTTTAGTGTAGACTGTTTGATTCTTTTCATGAAATATGCTAACCATGAGTGTTATGTTTTCTAGTCAGCAGAACATAGAATCAAGCCTAAGAGATCAAGAGGAAATGGATACCACCATGGAAATCGAATCATCATCCATACCTCAACCGAAGAACAATTACAAGAGATGGGTTCGTATCTCCATCTATGTATTCTTTGTCCTCTCCTGCCAAGCACTTTCCACAATTCTAGGCAGGTTGTACTATGAAAACGGTGGTAAGAGCACATGGATGGGAACACTTGTCCAGCTAATAGGCTTCCCTGTTCTGTTTCTCTTCCGGTTCTTTTCCCAAATCAAATCAACAGATACAAGTTTCAGACAGTTTCCTTCCTTCATCACCCTTGGATCAGTTTACATTGTCACTGGACTGTTAGTCTCTGCTAACTCTTACATGTCCTCTGTTGGGTTACTCTACTTACCAGTTTCCACTTTCTCCCTCATCTTGGCCTCACAGTTAGCCTTCACTGCCTTCTTCTCTTACTTCCTAAACTCCCAAAAGTTCACTCCTTTCATCGTCAACTCTTTGTTTCTCCTCACTGTTTCCTCTGCACTCCTCGTGGTCAACACTGAGTCTCAAAGCACAGCAAAAGTTTCAAGAGCAAAATATGTGATAGGGATCATATGTACCATTGGTGCTTCTGCTGGGATTGGACTGCTTCTATCTCTGGTGCAACTCATCCTCAGGAAGGTTTTAAAGAAGCACACGTTCTCAACGGTCATGGACTTGGTCGCGTACCAGTCTCTAGTTGCAAGCTGTGTGGTTCTCATAGGTTTGTTTGCAAGCGGTGAGTGGAGAACTTTGACTGGTGAGATGGAAAGCTACAAACTTGGGAAGGCGCCGTATGTTATGACTTTGGCCTCCATAGCCATTTCTTGGCAAGTCTACACCATTGGTGTTGTGGGATTGATCTTCGAGTCGTCTTCTGTGTTCTCCAATTCAATAACTGCTGTGGGATTGCCTATAGTTCCGGTTGTAGCAGTGATAGTGTTCCATGATAAGATGAATACGTCAAAGATCTTCTCCGTCATTTTAGCTATATGGGGCTTCATTTCGTTCGTCTATCAGCATTACCTCGACGAAAAAGAGTTGAAGACTATCCACACAAATCCTGTAGGAGGTTCTCGTCTACATGTTGAAGAAGGTCACGCAGACATACAGAGCGTATGATCATGCATATAATTTGTATAAAGCCCATGTGTCTCTTTGTACAGTTTGAGCATATATATATAGATATAAAAACGTGTAGCACTATTTGGCCAACTAGTCAGTTATAAGGTTTGTACATTTCAGATATTTTATCAGCCATTACAAGAGCAAACAGCGAAACATGTCCAATGAAAAAAACAGAGACAGGCTAAAGAAAACAGAGCTTTTAACAAAAAAAACAAATAATGAATAATGTAGCAACTTGAAAAGTAACTCTTTTACTCTCTTACAAACAAAACTTCTTAAATGTAAACAAGTTTACACAAGGAGCTTGTCTTCTTGTATCTTTGTTGACTTCTGATCCAACATCAATAGATACTGAGAAAAATAAAAAATTATCTTAGAGCCGCCATACAAAGGTTTCAAGAATTCCAAGTCAAGTGGAAGCAGAAAAATCAAAGTCAAAGGTCAACAAGAGCCTATCTAATAATTTAGTAAAAGTGTGTGGGGTTATTAGTTTTTATTATAAACCACCAAGTTGTGTATAAAGAGAGATTTGTTTTGTGCATTTGCAAGACATCTCAAACCAAAAAAAAAAAAAAAATCAATAAAGAGAAATCATCTTTCTTCCCAATTTTTTGTTCTCACCTTCTCATTTCTCATGGACAGATCTCAGGAACTCTATGCCAGTGGTAAGCAAAAAAACACCTGGTTGTGTAGATCCTTTGATTCTTATTTTTTTGTTAATGAAGTATAATAACCATTAGTGTTATGTTTTCAGGTGAGCAGAACCTAGAAGCAAACCTAATAGAGCATGAGGTAACTGAGTCATCATCGGTACCTCAGACCAAAAACTACAAAAGGTGGCTCCGTCTCTCCATATATGTATTCTTTGTCCTCTCCTGTCAACCACTTGCTACAATTCTAGGTAGATTGTACTATGAAAATGGTGGGAAGAGCACATACGTGGTAACACTTCTCCAGCTCATTGGCTTCCCTGTTCTTGTTCTCTTCCGCTTCTTCTCACAAATCAGACAACCAAAATCAACAGACACAGATTCCAATAAGTCCCCTTCCTTCACCACACTTGCATCAGTCTACTTGTGCACTGGACTTCTAATATCTGTTTACGCTTATCTCTCTGCAATTGGATTGCTCTACTTACCTGTTTCTACTTTCTCCCTCATCTTGGCCTCACAGTTAGCCTTCACTGCCTTCTTCTCTTACTTCCTTAACTCGCAAAAGTTCACACCTTTCATAGTCAACTCTCTGTTTCTCCTCACCGTTTCCTCTGCCCTCCTCGTGGTCAACACTGAGTCTGAAGACACAACGAATGTGTCAAGAGTACAGTATGTGATCGGGTTCATATGCACCATAGGTGCTTCCGCTGCGATTGGACTGCTTCTATCTCTGATACAGCTTCTCTTCAGGAGGGTTTTCAAGAAGCATACATCCTCAGCAGTCATGGACTTGTCCATTTACCAGTCTCTAGTTGCAAGCTGTGTGGTTCTCATTGGCCTTTTTGCGAGTGGTGAGTGGAGAACTCTGCCGAGTGAGATGAGAAATTACAGACTGGGACAAGTATCTTATGTTGTGACTTTGGCCTCGTCGGCTATTTCCTGGCAAGTCTATACCGTTGGTCTCGTGGGATTGATCTTTGAGTCTTCTTCTGTGTTCTCCAATTCCATAACTGCTGTTGGATTGCCTATAGTTCCAGTCGTAGCTGTGATAGTGTTTCATGATAAAATGGAAGCATCAAATATCTTCTCCATCGTTTTAGCGATCTGGGGCTTCCTTTCATTCGTCTATCAACACTACCTCGACGAAAAGAAGTCCAAGACTTGCCATGGAAACCCTGTCGAGGAAGATACACAAACTTGATGAAACGTAGCTGCGATGAAGGTCATACAAACAAACAAACATACACGCAAACAATCATGCATATTCGATGTTAGGCTCGTCTGTGTAATTTTCGGTAATGGTGTATGCAAATGGAACGCATGTCTCTCTGCACGTATATCAGACATGTGGAACTCTTGTTTGGCCAAATATTCAGTTATAAGTAAATGAGAATCTTTTGTACATAAGATACCCACATATCAAGTATTTGAAACTTCTATCTAAAAGAGAAACACCCTAATACGAGTAGGGTGATAAACAGAGACATTTCTTTGACAGAAAACCAATGTCAATTTTGTGTATATTTCGTTTTGTGTGTGTGACAGCCGACAAAAGTTAACCAGTTAGCCATAACTTACGAGGATGTGAATACACTACTCTGCATTCTAGTTTCAATTCACTTGAGAGATTGTGAAACATGAAAAAGCAGCAAATCATGTCTAATGAAAATAGACGAAATCTTAGACAGAGTTTGAACAAAATGCAAGCGACCAGAAACAATACCATTTGGAAGTCTCTGACTTGACAGTTAATGTAGTGACTTCCTCTGCCATCCAATACAAAGTTACAAAAATAATGTCTTTTTCTGAAAAGATAGACGAGACATAATCTGCATCGTTTTAGCTAACCTCAGCATTATCTTGATGAAACTTCAACACTAGCCAGAGAAACCCCAATTGTGTTCCTAATCCACATGTCTCATCATAAGAGAAAGAATGTCAGACGGAACAAGCCAAAGAAAATCATAGAGACGAAGAACTTTCAAAATATTCAGCCTCAAAGGTCTCAAAATCATACAACTTGTTGTGCCTATGCGTGTAACTTTGTATCTGTTCTATGCATGTGGCTAATGTTCCTCCACACAGCTGCAATATAAATTCTGAACCATCATCTACTCCTTGGTTTGACACATCACTTGGTCAATAATAGTGGCATCTTTGTAAGTGGAATGACGAAAGAAATTAAATATCGGACAAGATATGATACTTCTATAATCGGCATTTAATGAACGTGGGGCCAAGTACAAAACTTGGATGTGATCGATTCCTAATTCCTGAATATATAGCATATCAGCAACCAAGTGAATTGATAGTAAGATACCTAAATCTTAAAATTTGTTTAGAACCTCATTAGCTCCTCCCTGTCCATCTCCAAGGAGGTAATTCCACCTCCACCATGAAGGCTGATCAAGAACTACAAGTAATCGGTAAGTACAAATAAGCCAAGAACTTACTGATCTTTCATCTTCAAACAAAAAGAAAAGAAGAAGATGTTTATGATACCTTACGATTCGAAATTTTCCCTCACTTACCAGTTCAGCAGGGAAAAGAACCAAATCCAACAGCTAAAGATCAAGAAAACTCGTTCATTCGCAGCCAAAAAGAAGTATCTCACTCAAACACATACAAACGGTGGCTCCGGGTGACAGTCTATACATTCTTTGTCATTTCAGGCCAGTCAGTTGCTACAATTCTGGGAAGACTATACTATGACAATGGAGGAAACAGCAAATGGCTAGCAACGGTAGTTCAACTTGTGGGCTTTCCTGTTCTACTTCCATACTATTTCTTGTCAATCAAAACACATACAACAACAACTCACAGAGATGGTAAAACAACCTCACCAAGGAACCGTGTATTGGTATACATAGTGCTTGGGCTTCTTGTAGGAGCAGATTGTTATCTATACTCCATCGGACTACTTTACCTACCCGTTTCTACATATTCTCTGATCTGTGCATCTCAGTTAGCATTCAACGCTTTCTTCTCTTATTTCCTCAACTCACAAAAACTTACTCCTATCATTCTGAATTCTATTTTCCTCCTAACTATTTCTTCCACCCTCCTTGCGTTCAATAATGAGGAATCCAGTGCCACAAAAGTTACGAAAGGACAGTATGTCAAAGGTTTCATATGCACTGTTGGTGCGTCTGCTGGGTATGGTCTAGTCTTATCCCTACAACAGCTAGCCTTCCTCAAAGTCCTAAAGAAGCAAACTTTCACAGAAGTTATGGATATGATCATCTACGTGAGTCTAGTGGCCAGTTGTGTTAGCCTGGTGGGGCTTTTCGCTAGCGGCGAGTGGAAATCATTAAGCAGTGAAATGGAGAACTACAAGCGCGGGAAGGTATCTTACGTTATGAACTTAGTGTGGACAGCTGTTACCTGGCAGGTATTCAGCATCGGTGGCACGGGGCTGATCTTCGAGCTCTCCTCTCTGTTCTCCAACGCAATAAGCGTTTTGGGCCTCCCCGTGGTTCCTATCCTGGCTGTCATCATTTTCCATGACAAAATGAATGGGTTAAAGGTGATTTCTATGATCATAGCTATTTGGGGTTTCACATCCTATGTTTATCAACACTATCTTGATGACAAAAAATTGAAGAAAAGTCATGGAATCAAAACAAAGGAATCCCCTGAACCACCAGAAGCAGAAGAAGGGTCAAGTGGGCAATCAAATTAAGCTGATATTTCGAAACATGGTGTCTCACAGTTTACAGACTTCAGCGAGCTAATTAAGTGAACTCACTTTTCTTATAAACCTGAAGGCAGCCTTCAATGAACAAAGAATACATTTGTGATGCAACTCAAGTGAAGTCTCAGCTTGAAATCATTGTAACAAGTATATTTCATTTAAATAGTATACGACTCTGGTTTGGTTTTGAAGAAGATTTGTCTATATCACACTGTAAGCTCATTGGAATGGTATCACCAACTTCAGAAGATTACAAAAGTCGATTATTTGAAACTTGAGTTCATAGCAACCAAAGACAAGTAATTACGAGAATGTGACTCGATCATGTATATAAAGAGAGAGTGTAGGAGGCTCTGTAGCTATTCTAAGTTATTGTAATAAATCTATGGTGTGAGGAGAGTTGCAATCGGCTTACATCAGGCACCCAACATAGTGAGCCCGAGGGTACTTCTTTTGCAGTTGAGGCCACTGAACAAAGAATTGATCAGCCATCCTTAACTTGTAAAGCAGCAATCCACTTAGGGAGAGCTTCTTCACTCTTGCTACACTCTCAACATAAAAGATCGATGACCATCTTATTCCCAGAACCTGTGCCCAAAGATGAAACAAGCACCTAATGAGATTCTAAAGAAAATGGAGAAACCGTCACTATGAATCAAATTCAAAACATGTCTGGTTTTTGCCACAAGTCCATTCAAGGTCATCCAAAAAGTAGAGGAAGATATATTTCTGAAGTGAGTATACCTTGAACAAGAAAGCGATCCCGCACAGAGGAATACAGGTCCCAGGACCATTGCAAAGAATCTGAAAAACTTTAAGCAGATCTAATAAATGACCTGATTCAAATGTTTTTGTTATCAATAAAAGCACTCAGATAAAGAACATACCACTTGTGGTCTGATCCGGATCATTAGCCACAGAGCGTGAGCAATAGCAACAACGGTAGTCCAAACAGAAGTCACATAAGACTGGCCAACTTCTCGACTCCGGTAAATTTGCGCGAACTGTGAGGAGGCCTCCTTAACAGCAGCCTATATATCACATCCATATCAAGCATGAAAACAGAAATTTAATCAATCACTTTCATGCTGAACAATGCAGTATCAACCACGCAAGATACCAATCTCTCACGTAAGCAAGAAGCAGCAAAGTGAGAGGAAGAAGATAAAAATTCAAACCGAAAACTGTAACCAAGCATTTAACTTTACCTTGTCAGCTAGAGAATCTTCAAAAGTACGAGCTTTCTGGAGACTCATGTTATCCGTAGCAGCAGCAATGTAGAACCTTGGTGTAAATCTGTCCTTCCGCAAAACAGAGAGGAGGCTCAACATCTCTGCCGTGTGTCCCCCTGATGAAGCAACATTTCATCTTATCAATGATATGCACTACACACGTATGATGTATCCGGTTGAATAAGACGCTGTATGAACTATTCTTACCCGAACCAAGAACAATAAGAGTACTGAATGACTCTGAAGCTCCTTTCGGAAAGGGTTTGCCACACCGATACATAACATACAGCACACGAACCATTAGAACGACTGTCAAGCTAATTACAAATAGATCGATGCTGCATTTGGAGGCCATCTTCGAGTAAATGCAGCAATGAGTTTCCTCCATGATCCTGATAACCCTCTTCTGTTTCCAAATGAACAACAAATGTAGATGATAAATGAAATTCAATCATGAGATCTATCCTTAAGCTTCTAAATCCAATCAAATCGAACATGAAGATAGAAACAACACAATGAAGCAGAGTCCCGATTTTAAGGATCATGAAACCCAAAAACAGGATGTTCAAAAAGTTCCAAAATTTTGAAGTTCACTGCAAAATTGAGGATCAAGAATCTAACTTCCAGTAGTAGAACATTCAAGCCAAAACGATTCCAGATCTAAAACGTCAAAAGCTAACTCAAAATCAAACCACAAAACAACACGAATCATCAAAACCCAGCTCAGAAATCAGAAAATCAAAATTGTCATAACTGATACAGAAGATCCGCGACGACGATAATAAGGGAAGAGAGAACAAAAAACTCACCGGCGACGGAGAATTCCGGCGGTGACGGAATCAAAAATGACTTAAGGGTTGATTTTTCATTGGTTACCGCGTCTCTTCTTTTTACCACCGTTCGATTTGGATATTGCTTAGAATACACGTGGCGTAAGCACGTGACTTTATTTGTTTTCTTCTTTTTTCTTAAAAAGATACTAAGAACACATGAAGAAGATATTACACATCAGTAGTACTAAAAAAATGAATTTTTTCTCCCAAAACCTCCATTGAAGCAAAGCTTGCAGCTGTCTTCGTTTGAGAATTTGTCTAATCAATGACGACGAAGCTGTCTAGCTGTTTTTTGACCCATGGATTAGCAGGAATCTCCTGCGATAGAGAACATGGAACTTCTCGTCGATTTTTCTATTTCCCTTCGCGTCGATTACATCCTGCTTCTTGTAAGATGCGACAACAACGTGGTTTCGAGTGAGTGTTTCTGTCGATTTTCCTCGTTTTTTTCTTCTTTTTGTTTTAGGGATTCGATGATTAGGTGCGAATTCGATTATAAATGACCATTTTTTCGGTTTTTTTACGAGTTGAATTTGATGATTCTGCTCCTATATACCTTTCGTGATTTGGTATTTTCTTACCTTTAACCTTATCTCTGGTTTCCAGTTTTGACATTTGAGTTTTTGTTTTGCATTTTTGAAAATTGTTTTTCCTCAGCTTAGAGTTTTGGTGAATGCTCATAGATGTGAATTTGGTTATAACTGTCTTGATTAAGGTTCCTTTTTGAGTGATTCTGAGAATTAAAATTGTTGATTGTTAGTTGACAATTAGATCAAAATGTTGCATTTGATTTTTGGTATGGACTCCAAATTGTAATCTATATGCTCTGTGTAGCTAAGCCTCTTTTGCAGCTTAGTTCCTTTCAGTTTCTGATATCTTAAGAAATTTTGCAGCTCCAATAAAAGACAAGAAATCAAGAAAGGCTCCCCTGAACCAATCCTACCGATCAATTCAAGTCTTCAGAGCAACAGCGAAGATGAATCGGAACCTGAAAATGGTTCAGCAGACAGTGTACCGAGAAACCTCAAATCGGACGCAGAAAAAGGAAACGATATTACTACTTCCACCATAGAAACGATTCATGCGGATGAAAATACTGAGAAGGGAAATGATATACAGAAAACTGAAGTTACTCGGCCTAGAAACAGACCTGCAAAGAAGAAGGAAGAGAATGCTCACGCCACCATTGATGATGTGCAGAACTTAAATAACTTAACTGTTCCTGAGGTTGCAAAAGCTTTGGTATGGTTTTCGTTTTAGCATTGATGGTATGTTCTGACTCTCAAATTCTTAAAATCCCTTCTTTTTAATAACTTTTGTAATAATGTTTCAGTCCATTCACAAACGTGGAGGCGAGCAGTTTTCAGATGGACAGTTTGGGGAACTAATGACAATGATAAGAAATGCAGAGAAAAGTGGTTTTTCCCCTATTTTAAGATTGTTTATGTTGTGTTTATTTCTAATGCTGTGAAAATCATATGTTAATTTCCGATGACTTGTGTGGCAGATATTCTTCGGCTTGACCAAGCAAGAGCCACTGCTCTTGATGACCTTAACAAGATTCTAAGTGAAAAGGAAGCGTTGCAGGGAGAAATCAGCGTCTTGGAAATGAAGCTGGCTGAGACTGATGAAAGGATCAAAACTGCTGCTCAAGAGAAAGTACGTGTAGGGATTCTGGAAGAACAGTTAGAGAAGCTTCGTCATGAAATGGTTTCTCCTCCAGAGACTGATGGTTACATTCTAGCTCTTAGCAAAGAACTCGAAACATTGAAGCTAGAGAATCTGTCTTTGCGAAACGATATAGAAACTCTCAAGTCAGAACTTGAGAGTGTTAAGAATACTGATGAGCGTGTAGTTGTGTTGGAAAAAGAATGCTCGGGTTTGGAATCTTCTGTCAAAGATTTGGAGTCTAAGTTATCTGTTTCTCAAGAAGATGTGTCGAAGCTTTCTACTCTTAAAACCGAATGCACTGATCTATGGACAAAAGTAGAGAATCTTCAGCTGTTGTTAGAGAAAGCTACCAAGCAAGCAGAGCAAGCAGTTTTAGTGTTGCAACAGAATCAAGATCTCAAAAATAAGGTTGATAAAATCGAGGAATCACTCAAAGAAGCCAATGCTTATAAAGAATCATCAGAAAAAATTCAACAGTACAATGAGCTAATGCAAGATAAGGTGAGATTACTCGAGGAGCGGCTCGAAAAGTCTGATGCAGAGATATTCTCGTATGTCCAGTTATATCAAGAATCGATAAAAGAGTTCCAGGAAACACTTGAAAGTTTGAAGGAAGAAAGCAAGAGAAAAGCAAGAGATGAACCTGTTGATGATATGCCTTGGGATTATTGGAGTCGTTTACTTCTAACTGTTGATGGATGGCTGCTTGAAAAGAAAATAGTAAGTGATGATGCAGACTCACTGAGAGAAATGGTTTGGAAGAAAGATAGGAAAATCCACGATACGTACATTGACGTCAAAGACAAGAGCGAACGCGATGCTATCTCTGCATTCCTCAAGCTTGTGTCATCTCCAACAAGGTAATCAACGCCTGTAAAAAAGCTTTCTCTTTTTCCGGTTTCAATTATTTTTGAAAAACGTGACCAATTTTCTTCTGTTGTTGTTGGTTTTAGTTCAGGATTGTATGTGGTTCACATCGCAGCTGAGATGGCACCTGTAGCTAAGGTGTGCTCAGATACAAACCCCAAAGAAGTTCTCTTGCTATTCATGTTGATTTTTGTGTCATCCCCATTTTCTAATTTCCTTATGTAATTTCTGTAGGTCGGTGGTTTGGGAGATGTTGTGGCAGGTCTTGGTAAGGCATTGCAAAGAAGAGGTCATCTGGTGGAGATTATCCTTCCCAAATATGACTGTATGCAGTATGATCGCGTGCGTGACTTAAGGGTAATGTTGTTGCAGTTCGATGAATCACTAAGTAGACTTTAAACTTTAAGTTGTTCTTGATGATGGTTTAGCTTATTCACCCCAGGCGTTGGATACTGTTGTGGAGTCTTATTTTGATGGGAAGTTATACAAAAACAAAATCTGGGTTGGCACTGTTGAAGGTGAGATACAATTGTTACTTCTTCTTGTAGTTGTGTTTTCTGGTGACAAAAACAAGGAGATTCATTAGCTCGTTATTTAGCACGACTTAGCGAGATGTTTCCAATTCAAAAAACTCTGAAGCTTTTTTATCAAAGTCTTCTCTGTTATTTTACAGGTTTGCCTGTACATTTCATCGAGCCTCAACATCCGAGTAAATTCTTCTGGAGAGGACAGTTTTACGGAGAGAAAGATGATTTCAAACGCTTCTCGTATTTTAGCCGCGCAGCATTAGAGTTGCTTCTTCAGTCCGGCAAAAAACCAGACATCATACATTGTCATGACTGGCAAACAGCTTTTGTTGTATGGTTTAATCTTTTTCTGAAACAGTCACATAAGTCTTCTTGTATACGGATACCTTTTGAAGCTCTTTTGTTTTATTACAGGCGCCGCTTTATTGGGATCTGTATGCTCCAAAGGGATTAGACTCTGCAAGAATATGCTTTACATGTCACAATTTCGAGTATCAAGGTACCTCGTCTGCTTCAGAACTGGGATCTTGCGGCCTCGATGTTAACCAGTTGAACAGACCAGACCGAATGCAGGATCACTCCTCTGGAGATAGAGTCAATCCGGTTAAGGTAAATGGTTACAAAACCAACATTGAATTTGACATTTTCCTCTTATTCATCCTTCTTTATCTCTCAGGGTGCTATAATTTTCTCAAACATCGTAACAACTGTGTCCCCTACTTACGCACAAGAAGTCCGAACAGCCGAGGTACAAGAACTTCCTTTTGGTATTTTGTCAGTGTTAATAATCAAACAAAGCTTTGTTCTCATGTCTCTATTGTATTAACAGGGAGGAAAGGGACTCCATTCGACACTCAATGCTCACTCCAAGAAATTCATTGGAATCCTTAACGGCATTGACACGGATTCATGGAATCCCGCCACAGATCCTTTCCTTAAAGCTCAGTTCAACGCTAAAGATCTACAAGGGAAAGAAGAAAACAAATATGCTCTTAGGAAGCAGCTTGGACTTTCTTCAGCTGAGTCAAGACGGCCTCTGGTAACTTTATGTTTCCTCGAATGCTGAGAAGTTCTTTTGAGCATACTGATTCAGTTAAAGTTATACAATTATTTTCGGTATAGGTTGGTTGCATAACGAGATTAGTACCACAAAAAGGAGTTCATCTAATCAGACATGCGATATACCGAACATTAGAGTTAGGTGGACAGTTTGTTCTTCTTGGTTCTAGCCCAGTCCCGCATATTCAGGTAATAACTCGTCTTGTCCGTAAGATGCTCTGTAGCTTCATGGTTTTGAGCTTTGAAGCATTTTGGTTTTTTTTCCTCTAGAGGGAATTTGAAGGTATCGAACAACAGTTTAAGAGCCATGATCATGTCCGGTTGTTACTAAAGTACGATGAAGCTCTGTCTCATTCGATTTACGCAGCATCCGATATGTTCATCATTCCTTCAATCTTCGAGCCTTGTGGACTAACACAGGTTACAATACAAAACATAATCTCTAGAAGGAAAAACCAAACCATCAATGTGACTTAATACTGGCTAATCTCTATGTTCTCGGCTTCTTTCTCTTGTACCAGATGATCGCTATGAGATACGGCTCTGTTCCAATAGCGCGAAAAACCGGAGGCTTAAACGACAGGTACAACCAAAACTTGGTCCAGAAACATTATTTTCTTCAGATGACATTGGTTGAATTCAAGCTTTCAAAAGATCATTTCTTTTGCTCTTTTAATCCTTTTTCAGTGTCTTCGACATCGATGACGATACAATACCAACGCAGTTTCAAAACGGATTCACATTTCAAACCGCAGACGAACAGGTACTTTAACGATTCTCTCTTATTTACCATCTTTATCAACCTTTGCTCATCGTAACTTAAAATGGGGGTGTTGAAACAGGGTCTAAATTACGCATTGGAGCGAGCGTTTAATCATTACAAGAAAGATGAAGAGAAATGGATCAGACTTGTGGAGAAAGTGATGAGTATAGATTTCAGTTGGTCATCATCGGCTACACAATACGAAGAGCTCTACACGAGATCAGTGGCCAGAGCAAAAGCTTCTGCTAACCGCATGTGAGTTGTGAGTTCACATGCCTCATAGAGATATTCTTTCTTGTAACACGTATTTATTTAGTTAAATATATATATCTTTACTTGTTCATAATAGAAAAAACATTTGGGAAGTTCAATCACATCTGACAGATTTATTGTCCCTCTAGCTTCATGAAAATTAATTTTCGACTTTTACACATTAAGAAACATTTAACACTTGTTTTCTTAAATCATTTTTTACTTCTTCAATAATTCTACTACGTGCATCATTTTCTCACACTCTTTCCTATGTAATTATGAACCAATACTACTTTTTTAGCCGCTACTAATTTTAATTTATTTAGATCCCCCCCCCCCCCCCCCCCCCCCCCCCCCCCCCCCCCCCCCCCCCATTTGCTTAAAAACAAAAGAAAATGTTTGTTTGTAGATCTCAACAATCTCTGAGAATTTAATTTTAGATAATCCTAACATTCAAGATAGACTTAACTTCTAAAAAAATGCTATAACAGTTACAAAAGCTATGATTTTTTTTTTTTTTTTGGTCAAGACAAAAGCTATGATTTTAACTTCAAAAAATACAATAGTATGACAAAGAAAAGCTTAAAATATCTTAAAGTGCTCTGCTCTCTAACAAGCTTAAAGTCGGGAGACTAGAAGTCTCTTGACTACTGCTTTCAACATTATCCCAAGCAGAAACCGCATGTAAAGCCAAGAGATGCTTAGGTGGAATCTGCAGAGCTTCTACACTTCCCTCTAACATTTGGACGACTTTTCTCATTGGTGGACGATCAGATGGATTGGTCTGAATGCACGACAAACCCACTAATGTCATTTTCTTCACTATCTTCTCTTCTTCTTCGATTACATGATCTCCTAACAGTCTCATTGTTTCGTTCCTCTCGAGATCCTCATAGATCCAATCTGGAAAGTACATTGTTGTACTTATATTCGACGTAGAAGTTTCAGCTCTCTCTCTTTTTGTTGCCCCGATCATTTCAAGAATCACCATTCCATAGCTATACACATCCGACTTATGCGAAACTCCTCCATAGTTCTTGGAATACACTTCAGGAGCAATGTACCCTATTGTCCCTCTCGCATCTAACATCGATATGACACTCTCTTTGTTCTTGCAAAGCTTAGCAAGACCGAAATCCGAAATCTTGGGGCAAAAATCTTCGTCCATGAGTATATTCTGTGGCTTTATATCGAAATGCACAATCTTCGACGCACAGCTATTGTGCAAGTACTCTAACCCGCGAGCAATACCTACTGCAATGTCGAACAAAGTTTTACGATCTATCTTCCTTGTTGACATAGTCTCGGATATAAACTTGTCAAGTGATCCATTAGGCATGAATTCATAAATGATAGCTCTCTTGCTTCCTTCATAGCAGAATCCAAACAGAGAAACGATATTAACATGAGATGCTCTACTCATGCTAACTAGTTCATTGATGAAATCTTCTCCATCCCCTTTTGACTTATCCAAGATCTTCAGTGCAATGTCTCGGCCACTGGCATCGGGTAGTTTTCCTTTATAAACTGTTCCAAATCCTCCTTTCCCAAGAACACGAGCAAACGAGTTTGTCATCTTCCTGACGTTTTCATAACTATATCGTTTCAACATCACAGCCGCTTCAATGTTCGAATCACTATTTCTTTTCGCATTCTTTGCTCTCACAACTACCGCAATCGCAACAGTCATGATTATTACACCTAAAGCTGCTGAGCCTCCTGCAAGAAACAAAACAAGCAAAACTTATTGTTATGTAAATCAATTTACGCAGCAGAGATCTGGTTGCAATGAAGGTGGTACGTACGTACCAAGTATGAATATTAACTTCCGTGGAGAATTATCTGGAAATGAATATAAAGAAAATCATGATTAACAAAACAAACATTAATTTTGCATATATGTTTACAAGATGGGGAAAGCAAAAACAAACATACCTTTTCCTTCTGCTAACGGAGCCATGGAGCTTCTGTTGTTTTCAAGTAAAAAACATCACATTAATACGTATATTATTTGTTTTTTTATGTGTGTGAAAAAAATGTAATTACTCAATGTATGATTAAGAATACAAAAATCTAAACTTAGAATGTAAATCATGTTTCTCCATTTACATAATATATTAAAAATTTAATCGTACTTGCGCGCACTATTGTGTAAATATGTAGAGAATATCCTACTTGAAAAGTTTAGATAAAACTTGAATAATATATAAGAGAAATAAGTTAGATATTCACTTATTATAGTTGTTTTTGAATTGCAAGTTCATGATATCCTATGTTTATCGAGTTTATTTTTAAAAATCCAATTTGTTTACAAGGATTTAGAGCCTATGCATCCAAGGGTTTTTAATGGGTTTTAAAAAGCAATAAAAATGAATAATAATATTATGTTTAATATATGTGTTGTTTAATAATATAAATATAAGTTGGCTTATCAAAACTTGAGAGACTCTTCAAAAAAAAACTCTTATATGAAAGTTGGAGAGAATGTATTTTTTAAGTTTTGGAAAATTCATTTATTATTATATTATTTTTAGTTTTTGATGATTTTTAAAAGATTCATAAAAATGGGTAATTTCCATAATTACACTAAAAACAAGTTTTCAGGATAAATATAACATGAAAGCTAAAAAATTTTCACACCTAACATTTTTCATTTGAATTTTCCGATTTTGCCCTTTAGAAAAGTCTTCCTAAATATTTTTTCTGTCAATATTTCAGGATTTTTTAGGAAGGTTTTCCAAATACTAGAATTTAGCAACATTTCATATGATTTAGGTAAGGTTTCCTAATTTTTTTAAAAATTTTCTGAATTGTGGAAGGGTTTCCTGAATTGTGGAAATGTTTCATGAATTATGGAAAAATATCTTGGAATGACTTCCTGAATTTGAAATATATAAATTAACAAAAAAAAATCAATTATATAATTTACGAAAATATTCCTAAATACATGTAAATGTTTCCTTAATTTATATATTTTAGAAAAGTCTTCGTAAAAGTTTAGAATATCTTCCTAAATTTACTCTCATCTCCTTCCTCACCTCTGTGACATCAAATCCTAGTTTCCGCTGATTTTTGTTTTTTCACCATTGTTGTTGTTTTGACTTGAGTTTCTTGAGCGTTTCACCCAATTATATCAGATCTATCTTCTATTATATGATTTTAAACTTTAAATTCCGAAAACACTTTCTCTTTAAAAAAACCTCTAAGATCTAAAAGATTCACAATCACAAACTACAACCAAACAGAAGAATGATCGTAAACAAAACCAATAATTTGAATTTCAGATTAGTCTTGACCATTAATACTTTTGTTTGGACACTATTTTTCTCTTTTTATTAACTAATGTTTTGTCTAACTAAGATTAATATGATCAAGTCTTTAGTGAAAAATGTTACAAAAGAAAATGTTATTAAAAACAAAAACTTAGATTAGATGCATCTGGAGGAATTTCTCTAAAAAAAACTATAGATACAAATGATGTTATAGAACAAGCAAAATAGAAAAAACTAAGAAACCAATGATTTTTGTGGGTGGTAGGTTTCGCAGAGGTTCTTTATATTCTTTTCAAAGAATATATAAAAGGTAAAAAAAACACCATCGGTTTTACTTTTTACATAAACACACTAGAATAAATAAAGTATTTGTCTGAGGGGGTGATTTAATCCTATGTTTGGATTCTTTCTTAAAAACAAAAAGACTGACACCACTAGCTAGTTGGCCACTTGCCATTTGGTGGGGTGGGGGGAACGTTTCTTTATATTCAAAACTCGTTGAATATATATAAATACTTTTCTATAATTGAAAGAAAACAAAATTGAAATTTGAATCCGTGAGACTGAGTTGTGTATGTATAATGTAAGGGAAATGACCTGGTGGTGCTAGGAATGGATGAAGGGCAAAACGTGATGACGTAGTCAGTCGAGTTTGTGCATGTGGAGGTGCTGTTATTGTCGCTGTACGGGTAGCTATAAGCGAGCGGGCAAGCTCTCTCGAAGTTCTGTGAGTATTGTGTCGGCTTGCAGTTTTGCTTCGACTTGAAGTAACGTGTGCAACAATTCTCGTGTGTTTTGGCGCCTCGGCATGCGCTACCGCATGCGATTGGATTTCCCCCTTCGTATGTCTTAAGATTATCAGGACACGTGTTGTTCAAGTCGACCATACAACCCGAGCTAAAACATGTCGGGCTAGTCTGTGACGGGACCACCGTTATCGGAAGGTTGTAACCGTACTCGAGGCTGATGAAGTAGCTGTTGGTTCCGCCGTAATCGATTCTAAAGTAGAGATAAGTCACCGCAGCCCAACTGTATGATGATTTGGAGCACTCGACCTTGCCGGATTCGCAGTCTCCCGTGGCGCACGAGAAGTTTCCACTTAAGTCGTTTGAGCAGAGCGTCCTACCAGAGATGAGACCGTACCATGAAGACGGCGCCTGTAGTGCACGAGCCTCGCCTGTTCTGAGAGCGAAGCCTGTGGTGGAGAGCTGTGATTCCCATGAGAAGATCACTGGCCAAACTGTGTGATTGCATTTGTTCTCTATGGTGAGGATACTCTCCGACAACACTCCTGCGAAAATATTAGGGAAGAAAAAACAAGTTACATATATTCAGAAAAAAAAAAAAAAAAAAAGAAGATGATAATCATCAATTTGGGGAAAAGAATCGGTACCCGATACGAACAAGAATGAAGCAATGAGGAAAATAATTGGCAACCTCTCCGCCATTAGCTTAATTGACAAAGAGTGATAAGTAACAAAATACACTCTGATTTTGTGTTATGTTTGCTCTTGCTTCTTCATCGGTTGTTAGTAGCTTAGTATGGATTGATATATATCTTAGTGATGAGTTCGTCTGCAGCAAGAACTAACAACTAGCTAGTATGAATATGAAGAAATATATGTATAGCCTAGATATAGAGGAAAGAATCTGGTAACGACCATTTTCCAATCAATTAAGTAATTTCCATGAACTTGCGAAGAAAGAAATAATGGGCAATGTCCTGTACTTAAAAAAAAAAAAAATTCTTTGTCCGACAAAAGTCACACAACTATTATTTAAATATTAAAGAAATTAATAAATTTTCATTTTATATTTGAAGTGATATTAAAATTGTTCTAGGCATGCATTATTCCTAACGAGCGTTTAAAGTATGCCTAGCACCTAATCAATTAATCGGATTTATTGAAGATTTTTTTAGGGCTGTATCGAATTATAATTTTTTCTATTATTATTTAAGAACATTTTATAAACCTCATAAAACATATTTTATAAATCTATGTATATTTGAACTTTTATAAACGTTAATAAACATGATATTTTTCAAAATAGTAACAAAGCTTACATATCCGACATATACTATTCAAATTATAACTTAAAAGAAGGAGGCTGATTATGTGAAAGAAATCTTATTGAATTTCAACGTGCAGGATTGCAATAAAATCTATAAAGTTTCAGATTATAAATTTATGATCGAATTAACTAAAAGAACAAGAATTGTCTTCGTAGTTTAATAGTTTTGTAAACTATCTCTTGAAAAGTTTCGATTCAAAATTACGAGGACTTTGCTAATGATCCTAAATCAAATATATGGACTTTGCTTAATAACCTGATTTTGAAATTTATTTTTCCTTTACAAATTATCTGATTTTTTTTTCAAATTTTATGTATTTTAAAGTATTTTATTATAAATTCGTATATTGGTGGATCTTTATTTAATGTTTTTTTTTATAGACGATAGTGTATATGTTCTTTGTATGTTTTTTTTTATAAAAGTTATGAATTTTTCTATTATTGGATCAATTATAACAAACATAACTTTTTGATTTTACTTAGATATCTTATTTTTATAAAGCATAATACCAATAAATGATCTGGCTATATCCAAAATTTGGCAAAATGGCTATGATTTCTTGTATTTGCAAAAGACTTTCAAATAGGGCAGAAACTTGCTCGACGTATGAATGTCGCTAGGTTGACTAGAAAAATAAAACAAGCTTGAATTATATAAAGATCGTGCAATCAAAGTAACGCGTGAAAGACGACCATATTATATGCTCTAGTCCTCAAGGGGATTCGGCTTATAACCTCGTAATAACCATTGCTCGCTTAATCCAAGATTTATACTATTTTTGTTGATGATTGACACTATTATTTAACACGTTAATTTTTCCAATATGATATGACAGTGCACGCAACTAAAATACATGATTTACACCAGTCGATCTTAATAAATAAAAAAAACACTAAAAAATCACTTTTAGTTAAAGTTTTTTTCAACCGAGTTTTTATTAAAATTGAGTCAAATTTGGCTATCTAGCGGCCACTAAGCCCTTTTATTGGTGTTCTCGGTTTTGTACTTGTCGTTTCTATGGAAACAAGGTATAATAATGTCATTTAGGTTCTTATTCAAAATTCGAATGAAGCACTGTGTTTGGTTTGACCTAATATCTCGCAATTGAACGCATGATGTTTTGACGTAGTCAACCAGGGCCCCAACTAAATAAATAAAAAGGGTATTAACGAAATTCTACAGTTTGAGCATGCAGATACTGTTAACCTTGTTATTATTGTAAATGGGCAACTTGGTAGCTTGCTGCAAGTTGTTTGATGTTGATATCTTTGAGACTTTGACTATGGCGTAGAAAGTTCTCTATAGGATACTAACAATGGATAGAAATTCAGTGAATGCCCAAATCCAAAGGCTTTTACATTGAAATCAGTAGAGTCTCGAGAATCAAAATTGAGGAGTTTATCTTGCAAACTGTTTAACCTTCTTGCATTCTCCCCTAATATAAGAGCATCTCCGGTTGCGTCTCTTAACATTAAAAATAAACAAAAATAATAAAAAAAAAAAAAAGAGAAAGACAAGAGAATGTCTAATTTAAGGGGTTTTAGATACGTTTTTAGCTAAGTTTCACCTGTTTTTTATATCTGGATCAATCAATTTATATTTAATAATTAATTAAATTATGAATATATATTAATAAAATATGTATTAGAAACCCAATTTAAAAATACCGACCGATGATGATGGTCTAATATGACTATTCTTGCAAATATTTTATTTTGACAACATTCTTGCGAGTATTTAAGTTCATTAGTAAACATATATATTATTATTGCTCATTTGGCAAGGGATGTAGTTGTAGTATTACACCGTGTGACGAAAATGAGTATATAGAAGCTGGAGATATGTGACGTTTAGGAGAATCTAGTTGGGATTAGAGGAAGGACAAAAGGTGATGACGTAGTCAGTGGACTTTGGGCACGTGAAGGTGCTGTTGTTATCGTCGTATGTGTAGATATGAGCGAGTGGACAAGCGCGCTCGAAGTTCTGCGTGTACACTGTCGGCTTGCAGTTTTGCTTTGACTTGAAGTCACGGTTGCAGCAAGCCTCCGGTGTATTAGATTGCTGGCACGCGCTGCTACATGCGATTGGTTTGCCTCTATTAGAGAGCTTCTTGAGATCCTCTGGACAAGTCTTGTTCAAGTCAACCACACAGCCTGAGCTCATACATGTCGGGCTACTCTGTGACGGGACCACCATTACCGGAAGGTTGTAGCCGTACTCGACGCTGACGGTGTGGCTGTTGACTCCGGCTCCGCCGTTGTCGATTCTAAAGTAGAGATAAGTCACCTGAGCCCAACCGTAATTGCCGGGACACTCGATAGTGCCGGATTCGCAGTCTCCCGTGGCGCACGAGAAGTTTCCGGTTGAGTCGTTTGAGCAGCGCGTCCTACCCGAGATAAGACCGTACCATGAAGACGGCGCTTGTATGTCACGCGCCTCCCCTTTCTCGAGGGTGAAGCCGGTGGTGGAGACCTGTGACTGCCATGAGAAGATTACCGGCCACACGGTGTGGTCGCATTTGTTCTCTATCGTAAGTTTACTCACCGACAAGACTCCTGCGAAAAAAATAAGATTAGGAAAGAAAAAAAATGAACTATTAATCAAATAAGAAAATAAATATAAAAAAGGATAAACATCGGTGTCAAAAAAAAAAAAAAATCCGGGTACCCGTTATGAGCAAATGTGAAGCAAGAACGAATATCAATGGTAACCTCTCCGCCATTGCCTTAAAGAAAACTAAACTCTGATTTGTTTTGTGTTATGTTTTCTCTAGCTTCTCTCTTGTTTTGTTAGTAGAAATTGTAAGTAATAAATTAGTCAGCAACTAGGGAGTATAAATAACTGAATAGGAAGGAAGGAAAAAATATAAAATTGTAGAATATTACGAAAGAAGACCCTTACAAGTTACAATATGTCAATCATCTTTTTTTCTATAGATAATAAAGATACCAAGATTCAGTCACATCACTTATATGGGAGATAGAGTCAATCCTGTTAAGCTAAACGAATACAAAGACAACATGATGAACCATCAACCACGAGAGAAATTCGAAATTTTACTCATAGTCACATCTTTTTTTTCCTTTTGTTCCAGGGTGCTATAAATTTCTCAAATATTGATACAACTGTGTCCCTTTGGTATTTTTTCTCTCTCAAAGATTAATATTAGCAAAACTTCATAACAGAATACTATAGCAGTTACAAAAATATGATTTATTACACGTAGCAACTTCAGTGCAACCTAAGTAAAGATGTTAGATTTCTGCATCTAAAACTATCATTCTATAAGCAAAGAATCCGCTTATTTTGGGATTCCACTTTCGCATGAATGATGCATACGGTTAACATCAACAAATTTAAATACTTCATCAAGAACCAACACGAAGATCTCTATATTTTGACAACTTTCTTGTTGGCTTTGGTTTGGGAGGAATATGAAATATATTGTTCCTATTCCGCAATATTTCAAACCGCATCCTTGGAAGCGATTAGAGTTTCTTCTCGTTTGGTTAGATAATTGCATTTTATCTTGGAGTACAAAAGGCTAGAAGTCTCTTCACTCTCTTCACTCTCTTCAACAGTTTCCCAAGCCATTATCGCTGGAGTTAGGAGAGGCTTAGGTGGAACCACTAGAGCTTCTAGACTTCCCTCTAACATTTCAACGACTTTTCTCATTGGTGGAAGATCAGGTGGATTGGTCTGTATACACCACAAACCCACTAATGTCATTTTCTTCACCATCTTCTCTTCATCTTCCATTATATGATCTCCTAATAGTCTCGTGGTTTCACTCCTCTCGAGATCTTCATAGATCCAATCCGGAAAGTACATTGTACTTATATTGGACCTAGAAGTTTCAGCTCTCTCTCTGCTTGTTGCCCCGATTAGCTCAAGCACCACCATTCCATAACTATACACATCCGACTTATGCGAAACTCCTCCATAGCTCTTAGAAAACACTTCAGGAGCAATATACCCTGCGGTCCCTCTCGCGTCTAACATTGATATGATGCTGTCGTTTCTTTTGCAGAGCTTAGCAAGACCGAAATCCGAAATCTTGGGGCAAAAATCTTCGTCCAAGAGTATATTTTGTGGCTTTATATCGAAATGCACAATCTTCGAAACGCAACTGTTGTGCAAGTACTCTAACCCGCGAGCAACACCTACCGCGATGTTGTATAAAGTTTTGCAGTCCATCTTCGTTGACATGTCCTCGGAAATAAACTTGTCAAGGGATCCATTCGGCATGAACTCGTAAATGATTGCTCTATTGCTTCCTTCATAGCAGAATCCATACAGAGAAACGATATTGACATGAGATGCTATGCTCATGCTAGCTAATTCATTGATGAAATCTTCTCCATTCCCTTTTGACTCCTTCAAGATCTTTAGTGCAATATCTCTGCCGCTGGCATCAGGTAATTTTCCTTTATAGACAGTTCCAAATCCTCCTTTCCCTAGAACGTGAGCGAATGAATTTGTCATCTTCTTGACGTTTTCATAACTATATCGTTTCAACATTACAACCGCTTCAATGTTCTCGTAGTTTGAATCACTCTTTCTTCTCGCATTCTTTGCTCTCACCATTACCGCAATCACAATGATAATGATTAACACAACTAAAGCGGCTAAGCCTCCTGCAAGAAAAAAAAAAACAAGTGAAACTTAAGTGTTATGTGCATGAATGAGCAACATATGATGATATGAGATGTGGTTGCAGTGAAGGTAGTACGTACCAAGTATTGGTTTTAACTTCTGTGAAGAATTATCTGCAAATGTATCAAATAAAAATTATGATTAACAAACATAAAAATCGCATACATTTTATAGAATTGAAGAAAACAAAAAATGAACTTACGTTTTGGTCCTGCTTCCAGACCCATCGAGATCCTGATAGTTTTTCTCCAAACAAATAACATAATTATATAGTATATTAGTTTATCAATTTATACGGTAGGTTTCGGGATTTGAAACTGGTATTGGCTTGATCAAAGATTAAAAATTTCCAAACATTTTATAAGATTTTTTTATACAGGAGCCAAACCAAGATAATGTGTTTATATGCGTGAATGCATGGGAAAACTGCAAAAAAAAAAGCCTTTCACCTAAAAAAAAACTGAACTGGTTTGAAGCATGAATTAAAATCTAAACGCTGCAAATAAACCTCCTGAAATGGTCAAACCAAGTAAGCAATATCCACATCTCAAATTTGTAGGATGCCATATGAAATTAATTAGAGTTTGGCATGAACAATTTGCATCCCAAATCTATATAATCCTACTTAAATTTACACAAATATAGCCTAAATTATGTCATATATTATGCCAAAACAAAAAAAAAAAAAAAATCACAAGTTTGCGCAAGAATTAGTTATATTTGATCTGATAGTTGAACAACTAAACAAACCCATGTCTAACATTTTATCTACACTAAAAAGTCACCATTGCTGTGTTACCAGGCAATAGTTGCTATCTGGCGTGTGGGCGTTTCGCTAGGGTATCATTAAAACCACTAGGCAAAATAATTGATAGAAAAAAAAAAAAAAGAGAAGTGAAATTTAGAGAATCAACTCCAAGCAAAAAAGAAACGAAAAAAAGGGTTTTAACCTGGTGTTATTTGGAACGGACGAGGGGCAAAACGTGACAACGAAATCAGTCGAGGTAGGACAAGTCCATGTGCTGGTAAAATCGTGGTAGGGGTAGCTATAGACGAAAGGGCAAGCGCGCTCGAAGTTCCGAGTGTACATCGTCGGCTTGCATTTTTGCTTTGTCTTGAACTCTTGGCTGCAACAAATCTCCGGTGTGTCGTATCTTCGGCACGCGCTAACGCAGCCGATTTGTTTCCCACCGTCGAATAGATCAAGATCTTCCGGACATGTCTCCTTCAAGTCAACCATACAACCAGAGCTAAAACATGTCGGACTAGTCTGTGAGGGGACCACCTTTATGGGAAGGTTGTAACCGTACTCGAGGCTGATGAAGTAGCTGCTGACTCCGCCGATATCGATTCTAAAGTAGAGATAAGTCACCGGCGACCAACTGTATTGGCGGCCAGGACACTCGATCTTGCCTGATTCGCAGTCTCCCGTGGCGCACAAGAAGTTTCCCGTTGAGCCGTTTGAGCAGAGCGTCCTACCAGAGATAAGACCGTGCCATGACGACGGCGCTTGTAAGGCACGCGCCTCGCCTGTTTTTAGAGCGAAGCCTGTGGGGGAGACCTGTGATTCCCATGAGTAGATCACTGGCCAAACTGTGAGGTTGCATTTGTTCTCTATGGTGATGATACTCCCCGACAACACTCCTGCGATAACAAAAGCTAAGATTAAGGGAGAAAAATATGAAAGTCACAAATATCCGAAGTGAAGTCGTACCCGATACGAGGAAGTTTGAAGCAACTAGTAAAATAATGTGCAATCTCTCCACCATTAGATTTAAGAAAAGTAATAAGACGTTCCAAAGAGTGAAATACTAACAATAAACTCTGCTTCAGTGTTCTGTTCGCTCTTGTTTAGTACTTTTGTAGGAATTGATATATCTTCATGATTATAATCTCATTTACACAATATATTTCTTTTTTTAATTAATAAAAAATATATAAAGATTGACCTTAAAATCCCTCTTTAGATTGAGTTGTCGTAATTGAAGGCAACATGTGATGTTTGGCGTAGTCAAGCCGCCAAGCGTTTGCCTTTTGTGGTATATCTTCTTCTGTCGGAATGTATGAACCTTAATTGTTACATAACAAAGGCATATGTATCCTTAATCTAATGCCCAAGAAGGAATTTTGGAATAGCGAGTTTTTTTTGTGGAGAAAGCATGTTTAATCATATTGTTTATAAGCATTCTCTTCTCTACAACAGAAATCGAAAGAAAGAAAGAAAAGGTACTTGCCCTTTACAAAATAGCATGCTCGTAAAAATACAATATAACTTATACTTAAAAGCTATCCATCCAAGCAAACTTAAGACTGATGTCTAACATAAACGTTTGCTGTTTTTGTATCACAATTGATCGGCTTAATTACCTCTTTCTAGGGATTTATGTTCTTTCAGTCATTAAAAGGTCTCTCTCTCTCCACAGTGGTATAGCATCGTGTGCTAAAAACAGAGAACTGATCTGACTCCTAAAGAAGACACTCTCAAAACCCAAAAGTTTGGCGAAGTGAAAAAACATCTAAAAATCATGTTTTTTCCTTATCTTGTGGTTGCGGTTGTTGTTGTTGAGCTTTAAGTTTCTCGAGCTGCTTCCGGAGATAAGCTTGTTTGAGTTTCTCCCGACGATTTGCTGCCTGCTCTTGTCTCTTTTGCTTCAACTCCGTTGCTTTTTCTCTCGCTTGATTCACTTCTTCATGAACCTCTCTGCACAGATTATTCATGTCAAAAGAGAAGATCGGAGTAAAATCTATTACGATGGAGTTGCTTCCTTCTCTATTTGTGCTACGTATAAGACACATGACTAACGGAGGAAAAGAGACAACAAATGGAATTCACCTGACCATACGCACGTGTTGACTTGGATCAGCTGTCCCAACAACTGCACGTCCGAGTCCAGCAAATCTCGTGCTAAACAGCGAACCATCATCTTCACTATCTGCTTTTAAATCCTCAGGTGGTGCTGTAATCGAACTGTTTCTCGTGCTTGATGGTTTTACATCATCTTCATGTTCAACTCCTTTCCTGAAGAAGTCTACACAGTACTTCTCTTCGGCTTCTTCATCTGAAAGCTCTCCCCTTACAAGCTTTTCATATAACTGAGCCTTTTTCTCCAACGCGGCGTAGCTAACTGCTCCGTCTTTAACTGCTTTGAGCTCGAGCTTGTCCCTTCATTTCCCCACATACAAAAGTAAAATCACTAGAGATTGTTAAGCAGCAGAATTGGTCCTGATAAAAAAGCTTAAATTGCTGATCCTATCATCGTCAATGAGTTTTCAGCATAGCAACACACTGAAACTAAATCCATATAACGCAGCCAAATTAAGAATCTTCAACATCTACAGCATAACATAATTAGAAATTCTGTAGTCTTTGCTTTATTGACATTCAAGTTTAGACCAATGAAGAGATGACTAAAGATCAAACCCCATCTCCTGATTCCCAAATGCAGAAGAAATCACAACGCAGCCAATCATAAACCCTTAATCCCAATTTTTACACTTTTTCCTAATCTACGTTCCATTTTAGATATATCAACAACGAAGTTCGATTTACAATCCAATCTTAATCTGAAGGATTGGTACAATAAGGCAACATCGAACCCTAATTACCGAAATCCTCTCGTTTCAACGAATCGAAAGCAATAACAACAACAACAAATGGAAGATTTAAAATTTGATGAATCTCGGGCTTACTTTAGAGCGCGACCCTCGACCCCGGAATTCTTCGCGGAGAAGGAGTCTTTCGCGGCAATCCTTTCTTTGGCGCGATGGTACTGAGCATCGGATCCCGAGAAATCCTTCGTCTGCTTAGCTTCTTCCTGCGACTTATAAAGCTGAGCTTTGAGCTCCATGATTGAAGAAGGACCCACACCTTCGATGACGCGATGCCTCTTCGGCATGATAGATGATTCCGTTATCCATCCCAGCGATTCAACTACAACTCTCTTCCTCGTCTCCTCTTCTCCTTCCATTTTCTTCTTCTTCTCCTCTCTCGCTCAAATTCTGTGCAATACAGAGCTTCAATTGATTCTCTCTGGTTCGTTTTCTCTCAGAGATTAAACTTCGATGGGAGATTTTGGACTCAAATTTTAAAAGCAAAATTAAATTGGATCGTAAATATAATTATATAAACGATAATTAATCATAATTATGTTAATAACGTTGGGCTTTTCTCAGTATTGGGCTTGTAAATGTTTGATTATTAGGCCCAAACTTAACCCCCGCGTCATGACCACTCGCAAGTGAAGCGTGTTGACGTCACCTCCCAAAAAAAAATTATTTACAAAAGTTATCAAATTTCACCTTGAAAATAAGTCTGTAACTCATAATGAAGTTGCTTTAAACTCCGTGTAATGACTAAGAGATGATTACGTTAGTGCTAATAAAGCAAGCTCATTATCTTTAACAAATCACTAATCCAGCTTGTTGACATATAGTCTATATAGATCAGATGAATTAAGATTGTATTCATATGAAATAATACATCCCATAGTATTCACTTTATAGACGACTTTTTCTCATTTGCCTTTTTTAACCATGTTAAACAAACGACCCATTCAAATGTATACGAAAAACGAAAAGTTATACTTACAAATATGTACTACGTACCAACAAAAAAAAACCGAAGCAAATCCAATAGTATCTATTAAAAACAAATGTACAAAAATAAAAATCTGATATCAGGTATATATCATATAATTCACATCCAAAAAACACAAAAATTAGAATCAAATTCTTATATGACTAATCTTAACACCAATCAAATCAACTTAAACAGATTCACAAGTGCATTACTTTTGCGACAAGGCTGAGGAACCATGACCTTTTGTTCATGATCATTTCTTGTTACCACTTGAACGATTTGGTCATTACTTCTTCCATTTGTGTTATTACTTTGATGATGATGACCCAATTCATCAATAACAACTCTTTGCCTTTGAATATGTTCCCATTTGTCTTGAAATAGATAGAAGAAGACAAGACAAGAGAGTTGAGCTGTGAACAAGATTGTCCAAAGACTTGAGTCTCTACTTGATGACGTCTTCCTATGGTATGCTCTTATGCCTGTGTATATATTTATTATGCCAAATATTGACAGTACTGTTCCAAGGATCCAATGCAGTAAGAACCATTTCAACCTCCTTTTGCTCCCTCTACAATGCATTCAATAGAATCACGACAAGTGTGAGGCGTATATATATAGAAAGAGATGTATATATGTGTGTGTATAGCTGTATGCATATGTACCTAGAGGGCTTGAAGACACCGGTCAAGAATTGGAGCCACATGGCTGCATAAAGAGCCAAGCCAAGTCTTTGATGGTTGTTGTCAAAAGAGTTCTCTAATGTTCTTAAAGATATTATAGCTCCTATTGTTGCCAAAACCACTGCTAATATCTGCTCGTTTATAAAATAATGTAAAATTAAAAAAAAAAATGCAACCTCATATAAGCTATGAAGAGAAAAGGTTTTGTGTTTTATGTATGTGTCTGCGAGACGAAGAGTGCAATCATAATGTTTCCTTAGCTCATTTCCCTTAATATTCAAGAAATCATGATCAAAGCTATAGATAATTCAAGAAGCAATTCCTTCATAAGCTATCTATTTGAAATTAATTTCAATGCATATATATCTAGCTGTTCAAATTGAGTACATGTAAGACTACTATGAGTGCTTCTTGTTTTTCAATTTTAAAAATCGTATATCCCTAATCTAAAAGTTTTTTTTCCCCTCAAAAAACAGATTTGATATTATATTTATAGTGGAGAAAATGATTAAAGTGAGATGTCATCATGAGTTTGAACTAAAGACTTCTAAATATTTTTTCATATACAAAATTCCATCATCATAAATATTTATGAGTAGTAAGTAATATAATTCAATTACCTGGAAAACGACATGGAGGTAGAAGAATACTTTAACTTTTCTTCCATTTTCATTAGCTTTATTGGCCATTCTAATGAAGAGAATCCCCACTGGCATAAGAAACCCCATTGAAGCCCATAGGAGAATGCCATGAAGCTTTATGCTGTTTATCATTTGATGACTCAACTGCCATTTAAAGTTTAAGACAACGTTTCTAAAATATTACTAGAAGTGAATACACTCAAAAATATCACAACAACAAAAAGAATACACCCAAAAATGTAGTGATGATCATATAATATATAAGCTTTTATAAATTAAACAACAACGGATTAAATCCAAAAGTATACCTTGTCTTGTACTAGGGATCCTTTGTTCTTGAGATTGCTTGGTGAATGGTTATCAATGGTGACATCAAGAGATGAACAGACGACAAGTGAAGCTGAGGAAAGATAGAAGATAATAGAAACCAAAACAGTCCCTATAGATTTAGATATTTTCATTCTGATCTCAATCATACTAACAAACCGCACTAAGAGATAATCTCACAGCACAAAATCACTCTCTTAACTCTCTCTCTCTCTCTCTCTCTCTCTCTCTCTCTCTCTATTTCAGTTCATCATTCTATGAGAATTTGAGAAAGACCCATGAAATATATATATACATGCATGAAGCTTACAAGTACATGTATATTACTGGATAAAATGTTGCATATGTGAGATGGAAGAGAGAGAGAGAGAGACAAATAGAGAGGATGCATGTGATTGCTGGTGCAAAAGAGGCTTTTAATGGAATGATTTGAGGTCTTAGCTCGTTAAAGAAATGATATTCAATTTGATCATGGAGGGTTGGGCCAAATTCAAATGATCATCATAATGTTAAATTTCCTTGATGTCATAAATTCAATCAACAAACCCAAGATAACATCCAACATAATCATGATCTTATATAATAAGTCAAAAAGGGATGGAAAATAAAAAAAAAGAAGAAGTAAATAAATATTATTTGCTTGGTGATTCCAGTTTGCATATCTAGCTAGTATCTTCATGTAATTGAATCATAATCACACACCCTTTCCTTCTTGATATACTTAATATATAAACATACACTTACACACACACATATACATATATTTGCTAATACAGACTCATACACACCGCTCAAATGTGAGATTTTGGACTTTTAAGTGTTACCAAAGGGAATACAAAAAAGTAATATTTTTAGCTTTTCAATTTGGTCCCATGCCTAATCCACTTGTTCTTGGCTTTAATGATGTAATTTATGTTTAATATGCTCATAGATTTATAAGCGTCATTGCAAATTGTCTTTTTATCAGTTAACAAATCATATGCAGAATAAGAGAGTTCGTGAATCATCTCTTTTACATCATTGAGTTAATTTCCATCACAATTTAATCATCACAAGTAATCACATCATTAGTTGGTTACTACTACTACATATAAACCAAAGAGAATAAACTTTTGTCCTTTTTTTGTTCAACAAGGCCATTTTATGACAACATCGTCTTGGCAATCGAATTTATGAAGAACAACAAGAGAAAGAAGAAGAAGAAATTATCATTTTATTATTATGGTTATCGTATAGTATTTAAATCCATTTTTTAATTAATACAATTATGACTGCAAAGATGTTTATGCAAAATCGCGAATTCCATATGTATTTTTTCAAATCAATTAAAAAGATTCGTTTCTGTCTATTGACTGCTACAATTTTTTTTTTAATTTTTGTTAGAAACTATGTATTTACCTGCGCTACGCTGCGAGATATTTTCTAGATTTTGTATATATTTTTAATATAATAAAATTATTTTTATAATATAAATGAGTATTATATTTATTTTTATTAACTTAAATTTTATATTTATATGTTTTAAATCTGAATAAACATTATATATCCTTAATTTTTTATTTTTCAAAATTATTATCTACTATCAAATTTGTTTAGCTAACTATCTATAAATGTATATGTAAGAATAAAACAATACATTTTTAAGTACATTCACGCTAATGGTAAATGTAATTTATTTTCTCTACTAAATTGCCACTTGATCCTCCTTTGAAATTATATAAAGCAAATTATCATTTAAAAAAAAATAATTAATATGATTATTTTGAATTATAAAATTTATTTATTTATCAAATATTTATTATAAACTTATGTTTCTAAAACTACCAAACTATAATCAATAACATTCATATCAAAACTATTGCTATTGCTTTAGAACTAAATAGAAAGTTTTGTATGAACGGTTGAAATATCAATTTAGTTAAAGTTAAATAATTTAATTTGGTTACTATAAACATATTGTAACTTGAAAATTTAGCATATAAATTTTTCTATCTTTTTACAAAAACCGAGAAATTGCATTTTCCAACAAATTTTTTATTTTATTTTTCCATGAAACTGAGAAATCGCCTATTCCCGCCAAAACCAAAATTTTCTCGTTAAATGTGAAATTTCATTTTTTTACCAAAACAAAGAAATTGCATTTTCCCACAAAAACAAAAAATCACATTTTGCCGCAAGGACCTGTGTTTTTACGTCAAAACAAAGAAATCAAGTTTTTCACCAAAACAAAAAAAAAATTATCTTTCTGCAAAAACCAAAAAGTCATATTTTCCCATCAAAACAAAAAAAATATATATTTCTCGAACTAAGAATCACGCATTCCTACCAAAACCGATAAACTATAATTTCCCGTGAAAACCAAAAATTGTATTATCTCCTGAGAAATTTTGTTTCCCGCGAAAAATAAGAAATCATATTTTTCCGCAAAAATCAAGAAATCACATTATCCATCAAAAGCCGAAAATTTGTATTTTCTATCAAAACCGAGAAATCGTATTTTTCGTCAAAATTGAAAAGTTGTATTTTCCTCGTATTTTCTCGTCAAAACTAAGATATTTTGTTTTCGCGTCAAAATCGAATTTTTTTTCTCACCAAAACCAAAAATTCACATTTTTTCGCTTTTTTCCGCCATAACCAAGAAATTATGTTTTTCGACCAAAACTGAAAATCACATTTTCCTACCGAAATCAAGAAATTTTCTATTCCCGCCAAACCCAAGAAAATTTGTTCTCGGTAACCTCTGGAAATGCGAATCTCCAAGCTGTGGTGGTCTGAGCTTCTCCTCATTTGCGGCTTTTTAATGGATCAGCAAAATAGTAAATTGATTTTATTAGTGTGTTAATGATATGTATTATTGCTATGTTTTTATTAGTTCAAATTTTGCTGATGTGTGAGCTTCTTATAATATAACGTTTTTTTCGTTGTTGTTATGGAAGCATAATTGATGATGAGTCTACAATTTCTTCAATCATATATGTCTCTATCAAGCAAATACATAGTTAGAAATTTTAATTTTTTTTTTGCTATTATTTATTATTTGAGTTTCGGTTTGGCAAAAATATAGAACAAAAATTTAATTTTTTTTTATTTGTTGTTATTTATTATTTGGATTTGGGGATGGTAAAAAATAAAATAATTTTTTTATTTGCTGTTATTTATTATTTGGGCTTGGGTTTGACAAAAAATAAAATAAAAATTAACAAAAAAAAATATTTAGATTTTTAATGGATTTAAGTTAAAAATAATAAAAGTTAGTAAATGATATGTATTAATAAAATATTTTGATTGGTGAATATTTTTACTGAAGTGTCATCTTAAGAAAGTTCCAAAATGCTGAGGTGTCATCTTCAGTAGAGACATTTGTGTTATGGTTGTATTGATTCGACAGATTAAGGTTCTTAAGTGGTAATCTCTGTCAGATCTCGAGAATTGCGAAGATAGCAAAAGACAGACCTACGTTTAATTAATTCACATTAATACATTCTCGTTCGTGTCTCGCGGTGACTTAACGATCATCGAAATGATTACAATGCATGGGTAAAAAAAGGTCTCTGATTCCATCGACTAAAACACTAACAAACTATATATGATTACACCTAATGAAATATTTGGTAGCCAGTCCATTTTATATCAACTTTCTTCGTTTGTTTTTCTCTCCTTATTCACTTAGTTATCAAAAAGTTAAAAGACGGAAAAGAGGAAAAGTGATACTCAACCATTTATATAATTGGTGAAAGAGAAATCACTAATGACAAAAAAACAACTCGAACATTTCCATTTTCAAAATATATTGGCTCTTCAGAATCAAGTGAAAAAACATGCATCAAATTGGTATGAAGTAGACTAAGATTCATAGTCGCATACAATTATCATCAAATAATGTAACTAAAACTTAAATCACAAAATATTCAATATAATTTGCTATTCAGTATTGTAAATTACCAATTAAAATTCATAATAAAAGGGTATTGAAGATGAAAGAAAGAGAATTTTTTTTCAAATAATTATAGGAACTTTTTTCAAACAAAAATAAAAATAGGGTAAGTCATTTTAGTAATTATTACTTTACACCTAAAAGAATTTAAGAAGACAAAATTGGGTTGAGAGGAAGCGCAAGGAAGAACCTTATGCAGAAGTAAGACCTACGTAAGCTGCTGAAAGAGAGAGTAAAGAGGATACAACATATGCCATTGTTACTATCATTGGCTCCTTCAAACCACTGAGCCTTAGGTGATGATGAAACGGAACCGTTTTGAAAACGCGACGCCCTCTTCCGTTTAAACGTTTAGTCACCGAGTAATACGCAACCTGCGTACCAAAACACATCATCAATGGTTTGCGGTTGCCATCAGAGGAACATAAGCACTCATGTGTTTATTCTATTCCCACCTGAATTATGACCGAAGAAGCTTCCAAGACAGAAACACCAGATGATATGAACAGCGGGAAGAACATTCCTGAGCAAGCAGCCATTGCAGCCAAAGCTCCACCGAGAGCCAATGATCCTGTATCTCCCATGGACACTGATGCTCTGTACCGATTGTGAAGTAGAAACCCGAAACAAGCTCCAGCCATCGAAGCTCCAAATATAGAAAGATCTAGTCCAAAAGAAAGAACTAGTGAGCTACACACTCTATCTTCACTTGAAAGGCAACGTTTTATAGATATTTGAAATTAAATGATTTGCTTTAATTAGGTATACTCATTAGGGACTAACCAGAGCAAATAGGAAGAACTGCTATTGCCATTGCAACGAAAGCCAAGCAAGCGATACCTCCTGCTAATCCATCAAGACCATCGGTTGCTTTGACTAAGTTTCCCATGGAAACGAAGTAAAACGATGTCAACAATAGGTAAAGTTTCCCCAAACAAACGAGACCTAATGGTGAAGGCAAAGGAACCAACATTTTCCTGAAAAAAAAAAAATTCAGAATCAAGAAGACGGTTATGTGTAAACTATCTAAATAACCCAATTTGTACTAAAGAAAGCTAGTCGTAGACTGGTCTTAAATATATAAATCATGTGGATTCATTATTCTCATGTACGTTCATAACTTCATATGAAAGTAGATACGCGAGTTACCATCATATATGCGTTGATCAGATTAGTTATAAGAGGCTATACATGCCATAAGGAGATGATACGTTTGCAGTCTCCAACCAAAACGCAAAGCAAGTCCCGACAGCTCCCTGTGATAATACATGCTGATAGATCAAGTTAAGAAGGATTAAAAACGTTTAAAAGCAAAAAAAAGATAGAGAGGAAGAATCAGTTAAATACCTCCAAAAGGAGTTGTATCTTTGCAGATAAACCATTATTATTATCACTGCAGAGGCTCAAGTAGTCATCAACAAACCCAATCGCAGCAAACACTACAGTTGCAGCTGCTGCTCCAGCGACTTCGACAGACGAAAATTTAGTCAAGGCTATTGCAACAACGACACCAACTGGAACAAAGAACAAACCGCCCATTGTCGGGATTGTTTGTCTGCGGTTATGCGCAACTGGCGCTAGTGTCCTAATAGGCTCATGCACTTTCAGTCTATCTAGAAGCGGAACGAATATATAACCGGCTAAGGTGGCTAAAGCAGCCGATGTGAAGAAGGGAAGGCTTAAGAAATATGGAGGCAGAGGCAGTCTAACAATCTTCCAAGCAAAAGAATCCACTAATAAAAGCAGCGGTGTCAAAAAGGCAAGAAGCCCCAAATTAATCCCATATCTGATTCTGCATTTGACAAAAAGAAGAATCAAATGTCAAAAACAAAACGAGAGAACCATATGCTATGATATTCATTGGACTAACAACTAGTAAAAAAACTCTAGGGAACAAACACTTGTTAAACAACAGATCCTACATTCAAATTCCTCAAAGCTTACACCTACTTTATACTACAGTTCACACACACAGAGACATAGTGGTAGATGATGATAAAGAGTAGTGACATGGTTAATAATCTGAAACTAAGCTACGTGCCTGTGCTTTTTCCGACCTCTTGGAAACTTGCCTAGCCTTTGAGAAGTTGTTTCCGTTACCACATTCAGTGCATATTCTCCGTCGCTCTCTTCGCCTTCACTCGACGAAATCACATATGTAGCAGCAAATATGTCACCGGAGTAGAAATCAAATGAATCCTAAGGAAAAGATGTAAACTTTGATGCCAGTCAGAACCACACTTTTGTAAAAGAATGCTAATTTGAAATGGGTTCTGAAAAATTACGTCGTCAAATGCCTTAACTATCACAGAGCTTCGTCTCATGCTGCATCCATGTCTCTTCAAGCTCGCTTCACTGAACTGCAGAGAATCCGAAACAAATAATATATAAAACTGAAGAAGCAACAATATAGAGAGCGAAGATCAAATGAATACTTGTAATCACAAATGGCAAAAGACCGAGAAAGGAGCAACAACGCATATTACCAACCACCAAACGAATCACGATTCAAAAATCAAAATCGGAATAAGAGAAGACGAGTTGTTACCTTGAAAGAGGAACGAGATTCAGATTCGTCGCGAAGACGTGTAACGGAAAGGAGAGGAACCGATTCAAGAGATCGAAATGGATTCGGATGATGGAATCGGTATGAGCTCGGACTCAGCAGTAAAGATCTCATCGCATCGCTCAGAGACGGAGATGGTGAAGAAACGATTGAAATGGAAAAAGACGATTGGGTCAAGCTCTGGTTCGGTGATTGGTGATTCACACTCAGTTCACGCCTTCGAATTGTTTCTGTCGCAAACAAATCTCTCTATGAAAATGAAAGCCTGAAAAAATCAATTCACTGTTTCGGTAAAGGGTATTTTCGGAAATTCAGATGTTTCTTTCAAATAAAAAACATAACCATAGTACGATCGAGTGGACATTGTACCGTAATCAAACCGATCTAACCAAACCCAAACCAAACCGAACTAATACCTTTGATATACTTAGAAAGTTTTATTAGTTCTTACATTTTAATTTTAATGGATTTAAGAATTCAAACCAAATTCAGTATTATTGGATTTTATATTTTAAAATCTATACTGAAATACAGTTTTTATTATTTTTATGATTTTAAAATCCATAATGAAATACAGTGTTATTATTTCTATAATTTTAAAATCTAAACATTATAAAGATTTGTATTTTAATTGAATTTTAATTGAATTTGAATGGATTTGGAAGGATTTTCATGACTAAAATACAAAGATCCAAATACAAACTCTAATCTTGGTATTTGAGTGGATTTGATTTTTTTTTTATTTTGCTAATTAAATTTATCAAATTTAAAAAAGATTTCTAAATCCATCAAAATACAAGCTCTACTTAGCATTATTCGATTTTTGTAATTTTAAAAATTTATTTCAACCCTGATCCGGTAAATAACCAACAGAAGAAAAAAATGGCAACTTGAACTCTGAGAATCAAATCCAGCACACGCAAACCGTATTTAAACCAAGTTGAACTAATGGTCAAACAAATCTGAAATATAAAAAAAAAAAAACACAAAATATCTTAATCGACCATCCCTAGTTTAAATTAACGTTTTATGGCGATTAGTAATATTTGATGACTTCCATTTAAAGAAAAAAAGTTTGATTACATGAAGTGAATGTCCTAATCCAAATCTGATAATGCATCATGCTCATGCATGCCATTCCTCAATCCCCTGAAGAAATTCTATTGTGGGAGAACGAATAAATGGAAAACGACTACATAAAAAAAAATTATATTCTGTAAAAGAATGATATTAAAGCATATCACAGACTCCAAATACACATGAAAAAAAAAGTCTTTGGAGTTAGGAATTATCGTAACTGTCAACTAACATTATTCAATTGCTGTTCTTGTCAGTGGAAATCTCTGGAGAAACAGCAAAAGATAGTATTTTAGAAAGTGAGCTGCCATTTGTCAACAACTCACCGAGACTGTTTCCTTTTAGGAAATATACATTTATTTCTGGTAGCTAGCTAATCTCTTTTGTATTACTTTAAAACATAAACTGACAAACAAAGTCAAAAATACATATATATATATATATATAAGTATAAGGGTGAATGATGGGTATGGGTGAATAAGACAAACCCAAGACACACCCATAGAAAACGTAATTACAAAATCTGATACAGGGCTTGAAATTTTTTTATGAAATCTCACTAACGCGATAGAAAACCATTTCAAGATATACGTTTGTAAGAGACACAGTCTGATATAATTTAGTTCCTATATAAACCAAGAAAGTTATTATCAAAATAACATAAAAACAGAGGAAAATTAAACTCATTTCCGAGCTAAAATATCCCAAACAATAGACGCATGCAAAAAGTATAATATCACATACAAAAATCACTCTCGCGGAACCGTTTTACAGATTATACTATTATAACTTATAGCATTGTTATTTCAATAAAAGATTGACGATTCTTTTCAATTCATTATTTTAAGTTCAAAAAAAAAAAAAATTGACGATTATATGAAAACTCCTTTAGCCACACTAAAAAAAAATTATATGAAAACGATATAAGTTTTGACCCAAATAAGTGAAGAACAAAAAGAAAAGCAATGACCAAACAGTTAGTGGGATAATAATAAAAATAGCACAAAGCATAAGTGGTGTGACTCTCATTACTATACAAGCCTTAAAAAAGATATAATGGAAACCGACATTTTAATTCCAACCCTAAAATTGGATTCTCACATGTCTAAAAGAGAGACTTGTCACGGACTCACGGGTATCACTAACTGCATCTCCTTTTGAACTTGTATAATTTTTTTATATATTTAGATTCTCATCACATAAAAATAGTAATACGTGTCTAATACGTGTGCGTTGTGTGAGTGCACTGAGTGGGTGTGCTGATTATATAAAGCCCCAAAACGAGTGAGAACATATAGAAAGAGTTAAAACAGATATTTGTCATGAGGAAAATGAAAGTTGAGTTTCTTTCACTCGCTCTTGTTTCTCTCCTCTTGGCCTTCTCATTTGTTCATGGAGGAGGAGAGTCGGGAACGCCTGATACTACAGCGGCTAGCCCGAGTAGTCCAACCGCAAAATCAAGCGGAGCAAGTGGTTCGGCTCATGGACCTAATTGGGGATATGAATGGGGATGGGGATCAACCCCGGGAGGTGGTTATGGCTATGGCTCTGGTTCCGGTTCATCACCAGATGGAGGAGGAAAAGGGAGTGGATTCGGGTTTGGTTCAGGTTCTGGTTCAGGAACTGGTTTTGGGTTTGGCTCGGGAGGAGGAGGAGCCACAGGTGGTGGTTCTGGCCATGGAAGTGGGACCGGTAACGCAAATGAAAGTGGTGGCTCAGGCGGTGGAGACGGTGGAGGATCTCCAGGTCGTAGAGAGAGGAGCCAACACCGCTAAAAGAAGCTTGTCGTGTTGATGTTGCTACCTTAACACAAGCATACATATACATAATAAGACTAGAAGAAAAGAGAGAACATTACTACCACATATGTAATATTAGCTTAATGCATGAATAATGATCAAAGTAATAAGTAGTTGGGGCTTTACAGCTGTACTTTGTATTACATATTACTTATATAAATCTGTTCTGTTTGTGTTCTTGTATAAAAAAAACTAGTATACTATAAGATTTTTTAAAAATGAGCATCTGCAAGTTAACAAAAAACAGTGAGTTTCTGCCGTTTTCTTGAATCCAAAAACCCGACATGATACAATACTTTTTTCCCAACCATTTAAATAAATCTTAACACCGGAAACAAGATTTTAGTTTTTTTACATACGAAATAGCACAAGAACTAAAAATATATCACTCTTTACCCTTTATTAGTATACATAGTTCATTTCATATGTACATCGGTATTCTATAAACCGATTCTTTATTAATCTCTCTTGGTTTACTTTGTCAAGTGTTGTATATAAGCTAAACCACAATTGTAAATTGATTAATCAATGATAATATGTTTTCTTAATTTCTCGTTGGTAAAATGGTATCAGAGCGAAGACGATTCTGAAATTCATCGATCTCGTGCTTTCTTTTTCCTTGATTCCTTTCGAATTCTCGCATTTTTGCCGGAATTCTTCTCGCTTCCGCCCCGTTATCCGGTTTCCTAGCTTCGACAAGCTCAAATTTCGTTTTGATCGTGTTCTACAGCTCCGATCGTGGTTTCATCTCCAGATTTGAGTTGTTCTTCCTGCTACAATGACCAAGCGTAAATGCAAGTCGAAGTACCGTCGTTCATCACCAGATTCCAAGGAATATGGTTCTCCTACGTCTCAAAAATCTCCTGGTGCTTCTCAAGCTCGCGATGATTCTGGCGTTCTTCGTGGTGGTTCTGTGGCTCCGATTCGCACTGACATTCACAGATCTACAACCACATCACGATCTCTTCATCACTTGTTTGAGGTATCTGACTCTCCCGATAATGTTCATAGTCCGTATCACCTAATTAGCTCAGATCATCCCGGTTTAGTTCTCGCTGCTGAAGCTTTAGATGGAACAAACTATGGTGTTTGGAGCATTGCTATGATTACTAGTTTAGAGGCTAAGAACAAGATGGGATTTATTGATGGATCGATACCACAACCTGCTGAGTATGATCCTTATTTCAAGATTTGGTGTCGTTGCAATAGTATGGTGAAATCTTGGTTGTTAAACAGCGTTGCAAAGAAGATATATACAAGTATTCTGTATTTCAAGTCAGCCTCTGACATATGGAAAGATCTTCACACGCGTTTTCACAAGTCAAACTTGCCTCGCCTTTACAAACTTCGACATCAACTTCATTCGTTCCGTCAAGGCAGTCTGGATCTGTCTTCATATCACACTCAGGTTCAATCGCTTTGGGAGGAACTATCAAGCTTACAGATTACAGCTAACACTGTAGAAGATCTGATTGCTGAGCGTGAGACAAACAGGGTTATTGACTTTCTTATGGGCCTTAACGACAATTATGAGAGTATTCGTAGCCGTATCTTAATGAAAAAGACATTGCCTACACTCTCCGAAGTCTACAATATGCTCGATCAGGAAGAGAGCCAGAAATCTGCTCGTCAGGCTTGTGAACTTGTTCCTTCGGCTTTCCAGACATCTCAGACTCAAGTGGCAGCACCTGTTTTGAGTTCTCAACCCTCTGGTGAAGCATCTAAGAAAGACAAGCCTCTGTGTTCTTACTGTGGAAAACAAGGTCACGTCGTTGATCGCTGCTACAAGAAACATGGCTATCCTGCACATTTCAAGTCTAAGCACAAGAAGCCTGGTTCCGTTGCTGCGAATGTGACAGTAAGTGATTCATCTCCGGACCAAATAGCTGTCTCAGAAGAACTCTCTTCCACACAGATACAGCAGCTAGTGTCTTTCCTGAGCAGCAAACTACAGGCTCCTTGCGTCACTACCACACCAGCGGTTCACTCTGTCTCAGTATCTTCCGACCTTTCTAATTCAACCGTTTTCCCAATTTCCGGTAACTTTTACCCCTCTATCCTTTGTTCTTTTACCGGAATTGATAGGCCTTATATCTGTTCTGTCAACGACAATAACATAGCCATTGATGCGTGAGTCATAGACACAGGAGCAACTAACCATATCACTCATACTAAATCCTCCTTTTCTACTTAAAAAACCCTTTCAAATACAACCGTTACTTTGCCTACTGGAGTTCGTGTGAGCATTGTCGGTTTAGGAACCATACACTTGGGTAGAAATTTAGTGCTTACTGATGTTCTTCACATACCTCAGTTTAAGTTCAATCTCCTTAGTGTCAGTTCTTTGACAAAGAGTA